AAATATTTTTTATTTATTTATAAAAAAGTATATTGTGTTTATCGTCCTGCATTTTTGCACAATTTTCAATTTTTGCATTTATTAACAAATCAACACGGATCTATGTGAGCAAAAAAAAAAACAAAAAGAACGTTGAAAGAGAGGGATTCAAAGGAACTATGTAGGAGTCGGAAATATATGGAGCAAAGGAACTGTATGGAGCAAAGGAACTGTATGGAGTAAAGGAACTATATGGAGCAATGGAAAAACGAAATAAAAAACGATGAAAGAGGGAGAGAGATTCAAAGGACCTAAATAAAAAAACGGTGAAAGAGAGAGATTCAAAGGACCTATGTAGGAGTCGTAACTATATAGAGCAAAGGAACTACATTACGGAACTAGTTCCTTTTTAAAAAAGGAACAATAAAGATCGATCCGCTAAGTGGAGCAAGGAGCAGGTACTATATGGAGCAAAAGAACTATATGGAAAAAACGAAAAAAAAAACAAAAAGAACGATGAAAGAGAGAGATTCAAAGGAACTATGTAGGTGTTGGAACTGTATGGAGTTATGGAACTATATGGAGCAAAGGAACTACATTGAGGAACTAGTTCCTTTTAAAAAAAGGAACGAAAAAGATCGATCCGCCCAACTCTAGTCGCCAGAGAGATCGTAATATATGTAAATGATTATACGTTCATGGTGTCGGGTCCAATTACTGATGACATTTGTGAAGGGTTAAACTTCTACATATCAGATCTTGTGCATTCCTTCCATCTGAGGAATATCGAAATATTCCAAATCAATAGCCACACACACAGGAGGACCACATGTACTTAATGAAATGAAGCTCCCGCTTAACAAAATGTTCGATGGCGAACTGATTCCGACCACAAACTAACCCATGATACGTGGTCGATAGCATTTTTTTCAAGTCGTCTGCGCAAGCCACTGTTTTATGCGATAAGCTAAGAAGCAGGAACAAGGTCCTCATGTTGCTGGCCGGCAGCACTTGGGCGCTGACAAAGAATCCTTGTTGACCTCTTATAAAGCAATAGGCCGGTCAGTGGTAAGCTATGCGGCACCAGTGTAATTTGCGAATGTAAATGATACGCAGAAGAAAGAATATTCAGACCTACCAGAATGCCGCACTGAGAACTGCAACAGGGTGTCTCCTCATGACCATCTTCACTGGGAAACGAAGATCTTACCCGTCTATCGACACAACTATATGTTGTCGATGTAGTACTTGCTTGGGTGTTATGCTCCGGAACACCCCTGTCATAGCCTTATGGCCAGAACTCCCACCCAGACATATCCGGAGAAATCTTCACGATCTAGAGAGAGCGGTCCAAAGGAACAATTCTGAACATCTAGATCAAGAAACTTATCAAGCAGGTCTGAACGACATTCACAAGGACGCAGTCGTTCATGCAGTAGAACAATGCCGTTTGAATACCATAATCGGAGACCACCCCCCATCCATCGCAATAGATGAGAAGCAGCTGCCCCGACAAACACGAGTAATCTTTGCTCAACTATGATCAGGATGCTGCAACCGCTACACTTCCTATTGGGCTTGACTTGACGCCTTAACCTACCTAACGTATGTCCTGCATGTGGACTAAGATCACACGACACGTTGCACCTCTTCAACTACCCAGCTTAGACGGCTCAACAAATGGACACAACTCATTTAAGTTACAACATTTTTATACCCTTCACCACACTGTGGTACTATGTCTTTGTGTATATGTTTGTAACAGGTAAAAGGAAACGAGATAGACACATGGTTCCTTTTGATTTATGCATGTCCGTCCGTCTTTAGATGTTAAATTGTAAAAAAAGTACAGGTCACATTTATGATCCGATTTAGATGAATTCCCTATATATCATTCGATTTGCACGATATTTGGCATAGAGTACTGAATTAGGTGCAGAATGATGAGTGCCAAATTTCGAGAAAATCGGTTCAGATTTAGATATAGCTCCCATATATAGTTTCGTCCGATTTAAGGTAAATGGTGCACCAAAGTCCCTATGTATCATTCCATTTGCACGAAATTAGGCATAGAGTACTGAATTAGGCCCAGAATGATGTATGCTAAGTTTCGTGAAAATCGGCCCAGATTTAGATATAGCTCCCATATGTATTTTCGTCCGATTTAAAGTAAATGGGTCTCCAAAGTCCCTAAATATATTTCGATTTGCATGAAATTTGGCATAACGTACTGAATTGAGCTTAGAATGATGAGTGCTAAGTTTTGTGAAAATCGGTTCAGATTTAGATTTAGCTCCCATATATATATATATATATATATATATAAATTTCGTGAAAATCGGTTTAGATTTAGATATACCTCCCACATATATTTTCGTCTGATTTAATGTAAATGGTGTACCAAAGTCCCTATATATCTTTCGATTTTCATGAAATTTGGCATAGCATAATGAATTAGGTCTAGAATGATGTGTGTTAAGTTTCGTGAAAATATTTTCGTCCCATTTAATGTAAAATGTGTCGTCCGATTTTACACAAAATTGACACTAATTTTGCACAACGTACTGGAGTTAGAATAGTCTAGAAGTTGGATATAAATGCGTCACCAATGTGGGTCCAATCGGCACAAAATTTTGCACTACGTACTGAAGTTACTATAACATAATGTGTGGCAATTTTAGTTGAAATCGGTTAAGATTTAAATTAATTTCATAATTTTGTCCCTGGTCCTTTAAAAATTTGACGTCTGTTAGGATTCAATCGTTGGATATACCCAACGTGGTGAAGGGTATCATATAGTCGGCCCCGTCCGACTTTACTACTTCCCTTACTGGTTTAATTTGGAAATAGTGGAACCAGTACCATACAATTCATAACCAATAATATTATGTATTTTGCTACAACTACCATCAAAATGCGGCTTTAACATTAACAAGTGAATAAGCGTTAAGTTCGGCCGGGCCGAACTTTGGATACCCTCCACCATAGATATACTGACAGGCACTAGAAATGAAAATATAGGGAACATACCAAAAATTGGACCTATACCGACATTTGTATGTAAACTATAAAACAAATTCCAGAAATTTTTAATGGATAATTATGCCCTCAGCCTTATGGCTAATGAGGGTGTATACAATTTACACCGTGAAAATGTGCCTCATCGAAATATTGGTTCTAGGCCCCATGTTTCTTTGGACCAAATCCGTTTCAGAAAATTTACATTTCATCCAAACTATACCAATCTTATTATTTCTTCCAAACTTAGTTCAAATTCGAAGATGTGGAATATCGGTCCACTCCTTCTGGTACCTCCCACACAGGGGCTAGGTTTAAATACGGGTTATAGTTCATGTATTGTTCATTATCGAACCTTACGTTCTACTTTTTTATCTCGATATCCTCCACAGGTGATATGGTTACAACAGAGTCTTAGAACCAAACCCAAAACGCGGAACAAATTGCATAACTATTTTAATATAAAAAAGGGGCTATATGGGGACTACCCCAAAAAGGGGGTGCATATTACAAATTTTTTGTAGAGAAATTTGTTACCATATTCGACTACAAAATACCAAATTTAAGCGAATTCGGTTGAAAAGCGTGCTGAAGAACCTCAAAATAGCGAAAATTGGGGGTATCCTTATATGGGGGCTACCAGAAAAATTGGAGCTATATATATAATTGGACCTATATTTATAATTTTTGGTGGAGATATTTGGCACCCAATAGGAACCAAATGTACCAAATTTCAGCGAAATCGGTTGAAAAACGCGCTCAAGAACCCCAAAATACCGACATTTGGGGGTACCCTTATATGGGGGCTATCTGAAAAAATGGACCTATATTCATAATTTTTTGCGGAGAGATTTGGTACCTATTAAGAACTCAAAATACTAAATTACAGCTAATTCGGCGGAAAAATACGTTAAAAACCCCCAAAATACTGAAAATTAGGAGGTACCGTTATATGGGGGCTACCAGAAAAAGTGGACCTATATTTATAATTTCTTGTGGAGACATTGAGTACCCAATAAGATCCTAATGTACCAAATTTCAGCGAATTCGGTTGAAAAACGCGCTCAAGAACCCCAAAATACCGAAAATATGGGGGGTACCCTTATATGGGAGCTATACCTAAACGTGGACCGATAAAGCCCATCTTCGAACTTGACCTGCCTGCAGACAAAAGACGACTCTATGCAAAATTTTGGCGATCTATCTCAATTCGTTTAGACGCTAGAGTGATTACAACAGACAGACGGACATGGCTATATCGTCATAAAATTTTACGCTGATCAAGAATATATATACTTTATATGGTCGGAAATGATTATTTCGATGAGTTACAAACGGAAAAACAAAATTAATATACCCTCCATACTATGGTGGAGGGTATAAAAATACTGAAAATGGAGCGGGACAGTAATAACGAAAAACATCTGCGACTAACGAAAAACATCTGCAAAGATGTTTATCGCCCTCCAAAAATCCGGTATAACGGAATACTTCGGGTAGAAAGGCTAAAACATTTAAAAAAAAAAACAAAAAAAAATGGCGGTACGATACAAAACATCCTATAAGTGTTAGCAACCTATGTGTAAATTTAAAACACAGAAGTGGTCCGGGCTAAAGCTCCACCATTTTTGTTCGGCATGACAAATACCTTGTGCCTCTTTTACTCGTTATGTCTCAATTGTAATGGAATTAACCCTTTGCCAGGTAAGTTCCCGAATTCATTAGAATGTTAATTTGATTTCCTAACATGCATTTGACCGATAACAAAACATTGGCGAATGGTACCGCAGCCTTGTGCCTTGTTGCATTGGACTACATTGTCAAGGTAACTGTTGTTATTTGGGACGTATCTACACCAAAGACTAAAACAGGAACGTAAAACGACAACACATGCTACGAATTCAGTAACTTCTAATATTTCCCAGGTTGAAATTGAATTTTCAAAAAGAAATTGTTAACCCTAGAAAAAATTGTGAAAAAACCAATCATTCACACCATCCAAAATGAGTGAAGAACCTAAATTACCAAACATAAGTGAAGTGGTATTAAATCCAGCCACAATATCGACTAAAAATGATCCAATTATTGAATTTCCATCAAGCTCCTCCAGCAATCAACCAACTGCTTCCCCACCTCCCCGGACAGAGAGTTCCAAGAAAACCGAAGATGAACAAGATGAAATTGTGACCATTGAAAATGTTACGGTGAAATTCCGACTCGCGATTAATCAAGTCATCGCCCAAGTCTATCCAAATTGTATGACATTGGGTGAAGTGAAAATCGATATTGGACGTCGTTTTGAAGTGTCACCGGATTTGTTGAAACTTTCTCAGCAAAATCGTGAACTATCGGATGAATGTCGTATCCGTGAAACGGAATGTGATGAATTTGGTATACATGAATTTGCATTGTCACTAAAGGCCAATTTGGAGAAGCGTCAAATTATTTCGCCAAGTGAGGAAGATGTTAGCGACAACGAGGAGGAAGAGAGGCGTAGAGAACCCAAATTGGATTTGGAAGTTTATTATAAGTAAGTGGAAAAAATAGTTTTTGTTTTCGATTTCTTTAATTCTTGTAGTATTATTGTTTTTGTCATTGTAGCAAGCATCGCCTTCCCGACTTCATCACCGTTTATATACCCGCCGAAGATTCTCGCAATGGCAAACCGAAAAATATTGTCGTGGAAATACTCAACAAAGCCATTTCGAAACCATTTTTGTGTGGTTATGTGGACAAGAACACGGGTATGTTGAAAAGCTATAAAAATATAAAAAGCTTTTATAGATTGCCGAAACATAGAAGAGCTTTCAAAGATTATATTTTTTGTAAAGAAGTTCTGTCAATAGAATACAGATAAGCTTAAAAAGCTTTTATGTGTATGTAAGTTTCTTTATAATTTCCATAAAAGCTCATATAGATGACATATGGAACCTTTTCTTTAAATGGAGCTTTTTCATACCTCTTCTATACATAGAAGAGTTTTCAGAAAATCTAAAAATAAAAGAGCTTTCAAGATCTTCTATACATATACAAGCTTTCATAGTTCTTTTATACATAGAAAAACTTTCATATTTCCTACATACATACAAGAGCTATCATAACTCTTCTATACATAAAAGAGCTTTCATAACTCTTCTATACATAGAAGAGTTTTAATAACTCTTCTATACCTAGAAGCTTTCAAAGCTCATTCATACACATTAAATCCTTATAGTACATCTATACGTAAAATAGCTTTTCTAAACCTTCTACACACATGAGAGTTATTCAAAACCTTCTATACACAAATGACCTGGAATAACTCGTCTATATACGTAAGAACTTTTCTAGACGTTATATACACAGAAGTCATTATATAGCTCTTATATGCATAAAAACCCTTTATTTTCACTTCTGTATATAGAAGAGATTCTACAGTCCTTCTATATATAGAAAAACTTTAATTGCTCTTCTGTATATATAATAGTTTTTATAGTCCTCCTGTAGATTTGTACATATAAAAGCTTTTAGACCTTTACATACTTTAAAGGAGATTTTATACCTACTCCTTTTATACCTTCCGTAAAACGAGCTTTTAAAGTTTTCCTATAAATATAAGAGCTTTTATAGTCATTCTATAGCCGTACGAGTTTTTAAACTCGTCTATAGACAAAAGATCTTTTGTAGCTCTTCTACCGACACAAGATCTTTTAAAGCTTTTCATTTCATAGAACAGCTTCAATAGCCCTTCAATACATCTAAGAGCTTATATCCCTATATAACTTTGATAGGCTTTATATACATCCATAGAGCTTTTATATCAGTTTTATAGATAGAAGAGCTTACATAAATATAGATAGAAGATCTTTTGTAGCTCTTCTACCGACACAAAAGCTTTTAAAGTTTTTCATTTGATAGAACAGCTTCAATAGCCCTTCAATATATCTAAGAGTTTTTATATCCCTTATATAACTTTTATAGGCTTTACATACATCCATGGAGCTTTTATATCAATTTTATAGATTGAAAAGCTTGTATAAATATAATAACTATTATAGAGCTTTTAGAGCACTACATATAGCGATCTTTTTTAACTGCCCATAGCTCAACACAGAGTAGAGTTTTCATAACACTTGTAAGCGTAGGAGAGCTTTTCTCTACATATGAGAGCTTTTTTAGTATATAAATACTTTTAATGATCGTTTGTAGCTATTGGAGCTTTTAAAGTTCTTCTATAGATATGCGACGTTTCAAAGTTCTGCTAAAAATTTTATGCGTATGAGAGCTTTTCTCTACACATGAGAGCTTTTTAGTATATAAATGCTTTTAAAGATTGTCTGTAGCTATTGAAGCTTTTAAAGTTCATCTATAGATATGCGACGTTTCAATGTTATTCTACAACGTTTATGCGTATGGGAGCTTTTTTAGTATATAAATGCCTTTAAAGATCGTCTGTAGCTATTGGAGCTTTGAAAGTTCTTCTATAGATATGCGACGTTTGAAAGTTCTTACATACGTAGAAAAGCTTCCATAGTTTCAGCACCATATTCAGTTGCTATGGAATACAATGAAGATCTTTTAAAGCTCATCAATGCATCGTATTAAAGCTCTTGTATGTTTTGAAAATATGAAGAAGCTCATCTAGGGGGCACACAAAAGCTCTTCTCAACCCTTCCGTATCTCTTCTCTTTAGGTATCGAATACTTAGATGCCTTCACCCAAACTGGCCCTTTTATCAATAAATGTAAATACAATGGGCAGCTTTCACGGGATACTCAGACCATTGAGCACAAAGTGAAGCTGGTGGTAAGTAGGACGCCGACAAACCGTTTAGAATTGGATCTACACATCCTCAACGTGTTTTCCCCCTCCCTCTTAGGACACAATGCACGATCAAACTTCACAATGTTGGTTGGATGGCAATAATGTTCGCTACTGGTCTGAAGCTACCGACTATTATATAACAGCGGGCCAGTATATTACCCATGCCCAACAGGAACGTGTGAAAAATAAACTGGGTAAAATATGTCTAATACAGAGGAATTTTCGACGCTACAAATGGATGAAATGGATGCGTCAATGTGCCGAAGAATATAGGTAACTGCCGAGGCAAAAATGTTCCGTGTTCAATTTTTATTTAAAAGCTTTCAATTTCTAGACGCTTGGTGGCCAATCGTTTGGCCGAAGAAGAGTCATTCCAACAAGTCCAAGAACGGCGCATTAAACGTGAACAGAGGGCCAAACAATTTCCGCGCACTCAAGATGATTTCGATTTACTCTATGGTGAGGTACAAAAATGGAAAATGGCCGAATTGAAACGTATTGCCAGTATGTATGAGGGTGCTGCAAGGGTGGCCGAGGTCAATATTCTGCTAGATAAAGAAATACAGTTGCTAAATGGGATCGAACGACAACGTCAAATTGTCTCCGAGGCTATGAAAGATTTTCGCCAAGAACAAATGTTAAAGAAAATGGGTGAGCCCATTAAATGGGTGGGTTATGGAGGTGGGTATTTGTGATATTTAAGTTGGAGATTTTTTAAAAATTCTGCAAATATTTTTTATAGATACCGTTATCCATTTGGATTTGCTGAGAACTCAACGGGTACGTTTCCTAACCGAAATCTATAAGGATCTACAAAAACCCCTTAAGAAACCGGAACGTTTGGAGTTGATAACAAAAGTTCGTGAGATCTTGGTGAATGAACAGGATTTTCCGGATTTTGGAGAGGTAATATTTCCGTATTTTGTGTAATAATTTTATTAAGTAATCTCTTTCGTTTTATAGCTTTTCGATTTATTTGATCGTGAAAGGAATCTTCTGGTCTATACCAAACATTGTGATGTGGAGATTTTGCGCAAACGTCAAAATATACTCTTTGTGGAGCTGATTAAATTCGATAGAGAACCTAAAAAGCATAGTAAGTATGACAGAAGTTTGCTATTTATACATGGATCGGATACATAATGTTAAGAGATCCATGATGAGAAACAATGGAAAAATTCCATATATTTCTGTGAAAATCTAGCTCTATATTGATAATGTTCTGTGGATATACTTAAGAAAACCCCAAATGCCAATGGTAATAATCTCGAAAATACCGAAAATCTTTAAAGGTTAGGATCGAAATGCTGGGTAGGATCGAAATGTTATTTAGATACGAGAGAGAAAGACTAGACTATTGGTTTCATAAAGGCCTTTATTGATTTTGAAATTTAATTACTAAGACATCCTTAAAGCTAGGACATCTGTCCAAGTTTTAATATAAGCTAAAGAAAAGATGACAGGACGTTTGGGGAGTTAGAGTCGCCGATAATTATTCTAAGGCAAGGCAGCATATTACAGTGAGAAACCTGGATAAGTACTGAAGCAAGGAGACGAAAGATTTTATGGTAAGAGATTTGAATAAGTACTCAAGAAAAGACATCACAGGGGTCTACTAGAAGAGATCTTAATAAGTACTGAAACAAGGATACCAATGTAAGAACTTCAGCAATATAGGATTCTTCTAAAAGAGCTCTTAATAAGAACTCGAGCTATGCTACTACAGGATTCTACGCCCAGAAACATATAGACTCAAGCAAGGATACTACAGGAATCTAAGCACTCAAGCAAGTCCTCAATAAGACCTCAATAGGTACCTACTTTATATTTTGCGACGACGAATGTTACCATTTGAAAATTCGAAAATTTAAATTAGAGCCACTTGAGTCAGGAAGGGAGAAGTTTACTTCAAAATATCTAAAATATGGTCTTATCGGACCGCATCTATGTGGCAGTTGTGTGTTTCGTTCAGTCTATATGTGAAAAATTAACTTTAAAATAGCTAAAGTAGAGACACAACGGACCACACCAATGAAGTAATCGTGTATTTCCCTGTATTTTAAACTCAATCCAGTCCTGCATCTCCAGGTTATAATAAATTGAGTAAGCTGTGTTTGGATCTGTACCACAAGCTGGACATTCTGCAAATTGTCATCGATCCTTGGCCGATAAGAATTGAAACAATTGCACCATTCTGAACGTAGTGAAGGCAAAACTGTTGTATGCTCTTTTTTACGCTCTTTTTCACACAAATTAGTCTCAAAGAGAGTGCGCGGGAGGATTTATAGGCTCGGCCCATATGTATACTATTCAGACCTGTTCGATACCATTCCAGATCTATAAAGGTTCTCATTTATATCGTTGGATCTCTTTCTCTCCATATCAAAGCAACAACAAAATGTATTTGTCAGCGCCGGGGACATAACGATCTCTATACCATTTGGGGCGTGGAAAACCCCTGTTTTACTCTACATGTTTCGACTTCTTGTTCCGGAACTCCAGGCTTTTGAGTTAAGCGCTACCCACCCTCGACCGATAAGAATTGAGACAATTGCACCATTCTGAATGTAGTGAAGCCAAAACTATTCTACAACTTTTGGCTCAATTCTACAACTTTGGCTCCGCTGCGATAAGTGGCAGTATCAGGTAGAAAACTGTTTTTTACATTCTTTTTCACACAAATTAGTCTCAAAGAGAGTTCACGGGAGGATTTCAAGACTCGGCTCATATGAATACTATTCAGACCTGTTCGATACTGTTCCTAATCTATAGAGGTTCTCATTTATATCGTTGGATAGCTTCCCCTCATGCTGGGAGATTAATACCTCAAGAGTCTTCACTACTGGTGAATTTGGCCTGTATGATTCACCTTCGATGGCATGCTCTCAGTAACGGGACCATTCGGCCCATTTCTCACTCTTCGGTAACAAGTAAGACATGATTCCGTTCTATTGAAGGTGTTTTAAATCTGATTATCAACTTCTCAACACTTTTCTTGCAGCGGTAGTGTTAAACCCCTGCGATCGTTGGGTCTTCACTATGGTGAGAGTATACTCTACATTATCTTTCCGAACCGAACAAGTTCAATGAAACAATTCCTCGAAAATAATGATCGGTCCTAGGTCCGGTTCTTCCGTTCGACTAGTTCCTTTTGCTCCGATCACCTAATTCAATCGATCCACTTGTTTATTTAGATCTCCTCGTTGATTTGGAAATATAAGGAACTATGGAACTAAAGAATTCACCGCTTTGGGGAAGATATTGCCCACCTCTACCTTTAGTCTTGAAACTCCTTTTGGCTGCACTCAATAACGCGCACAGACCCGCTATAAAGTTAAAATAATGAAGTTTATGGATTCATGCCACACGTCTAATTTTTGACATCTGTATGTTGACATTTCAGTATTCAAAAAATTGCGGCAATTGCACTCTGCAATTATTCGGGCAATATTAAAAAAACTCAGGCAATACTGAAATAAAAAAATTTAAAAAAAAAATAACTCGCGATGTTCGAAGAACAATTAATAAATTGCATAGAACAATATCCTTGCCTTTACGACAAAGGAATGAAATCCTACCGCAGTAAAATAATAAGGGAAAAGTCGTGGGTTGATGTTGCGAGATGAATAACGAACTTTATGTGGGTTAGGAATTCGACTTCAGGCTCATCAAGTTGGCAGGAATAAGTTTAATAATGTGAGTTCAAATAACTTGCGTAACACTTTGGGCCAGTCGCTTCACAGAGCCTCTTAACTATTGCCCACAGTTAACTCGTATTGGTTCCAATGTTTTCAGATTAGGTTCAGAGGTATTGAAATCCGACGGTTAGTCTTAATATTCCACTACTTACACTTCGAAGAACTTTTACAAAATATCTACGCCTCTTTTCCAGAACAGGGTAATCGCATGTGTTGGGTCTGTAAGCAGGTCAAGCCCTATTCTCAATTTGCCATACGAACAAGACAATTCCAGGTGGATACCTGTAAGAAATGTTATTATCTAAAGGTAAGAGTCCAAAATAATATTTTAATATTTAAGAAAACCCATTAATACCTCTTCAAACTTCAGGTGGCATCTACGGAAAATGTTGTGTACACAGCCATTCTCAGATCCATACAACGCGATGAACGTAAGAAGCATTGCAGCAGTTCGATGGCATTTATAATGCAAGTGGATGATATACGCCACATCGTCGATCAAATATGGCATGGTCATTCCGTATTGAGTAAATGCAATAATTTGTCAAGATTGAGGTAATTAAAAAATCGGCAAAGTAAATTATCCGAAGAGTAAATAAAAATAAAATTTTCGTTTTTTTCAGGTTACCCCGCTGGAACAAAAGCGAAGAATGGTCACCATGGAATTGTATTTGCCTAACGGACACGGAGGCCCGCAATCATAATCGTGTTGAAGATTTGGAAAGTGTTTACGATCTGAAGACCCGACTCGAGGTGGCCAATCGTCATATGTTGGCGAAAAACGCCTTCCACAATCTGGCCTCAGTTTCGGTGGAATTTACTGAAACCGGTCAATGGTGGAATGTGGGATTGAATCGTCAGCGTAAGGTACGCATTGATCATATGACCACCGGCACCGGTGCAAAAGGTATCGATATGAGATGTAAGGATAGTGCCGAAGATCGCGATTATCAATTGGGTAAAATTATGTGAATTGAAACAGAAAAAAAACATATTGAAATAAATTAATTAAACTTTATAAAAAAAAATAAAAAATCGTTCAGTTCGGCAGGTTTACATTTTTAAATCTTTAATTGATCGGGGTTTTACCATGGTAAATTGTAGGCAGAAGGGTTTTTCCTCCAAAAAAAAAATATTCTTTAATATATCCAAGCCTTGGTGGCCTTTGGAAAAATATTCTTTAATATATCCAAGCCTTGGTGGCCTTTGGAAAAATATTCTTTAATATATCCAAGCCTTGGTGGCCTTTGGAAAAATATTCTTTAATATATCCAAGCCTTGGTGGCCTTTGGAAAAATATTCTTTAATATATCCAAGCCTTGGTGGCCTTTGGAAAAATATTCCTTGGTGGCCTTTGGAAAAATATTCTTTAATATATCCAAGCCTTGGTGGCCTTTGGAAAAATATTCTTTAATAAATCCACGCCTTGGTGACCTTTGAAAAAAAATATTCTTTATAAATCAACGCCTTGATGGCCTTTGGAAAAATATTCTATTTCCCATTGGTTTGATTATGGTGGCGGACACAAAGATCATTATTTAATACAGGATAATCTATCCTATGTGTGTCCTATGAGGACTCTGTACCATATAAATAGCCGTCTATTCTATAGAAAATCTTGTAAAGGATCCTCTACCCTATAGAGGGCAATCCAAACCAAAACCTCTTTTATTTATTTCTGAATTATTTAAAATACTTTGCATATTTGTTTGTGTTGTTTTGGTTGAATTTTTTGTTATTAGATTTCTTGTTTTGAAATTTATTAAATAAAATTTTAATAATAAATTTTAAACTAAGCATAAAATTGTATTTCTTATTTTCATCTGATTGTGTACTATTGATATTCTTCATGTTCTTTTTCTCTGTGGATCGTTTTATATAATAAAATAATTATAACAAAAAATATTCAAAAAACAAATACATCAATGTATACACACTTTCTAGTAACAATTTCTTGGAGGGTTTTAAAACTAAAAACATTTGTTTAATTTTATTTATTTTTTTGTTTAATGATTTCAAATCATTGCATTGATTTTTGTTTTGGATGTTGTTAACTATTTAATTAGGGCTTTAAATTTACTTTCCAAATATTGGACGCGTTTTAACAATTTATCGCTGGTATTGAATTCATTATAGGGTATGGGTATTACTTTATAGCCACTCTTTTCCAATAGATCAAAACTTAGGGTCGTTATGCCGGTGGCAGATTTATGCGTGCCATGACAAATGTCATGATAATCGACAACCATTAACGCAACTCTGTAATAAGATGAGGGGACATTTTTTAAATGTACTTCACATGAAGAATAACGAAAATGTACGACTTACTTAATGGCATCCTTATGTGTTTTGTCCAGTGGCAAAGGATTACGTTTGTTGTCGAATACACACATGGCATCTGAAAAAAAAAAATAATAAACAAATTAAAATAAAATTTCTCAAGAAAATATTCTTTACAAATCTAGGCATTTGGGTCTAATAAATATCGAAGAAATATTCTTTAAAAATCCACGTCTCTTTGGGCCCAATAATTCTTGAAAAAATATTACATCAAAATCCACGCCTATTGGTCTAATAAATCTCGAAGAAATATTCTTTAAAAATCCACGTCTCTTTGGGCCCAATAATTCTTGAAAAAATATTATATCAAAATCCACGCCTATTGGTCTAATAAATCTCGAAGAAATATTCTTTAAAAATCCACGTCTCTTTGGGCCCAACAATTCTTGAAAAAATATTATATCAAAATCCACGCCTTTGGGTCTAATAATTCTTAAAAAATATTCTTTAAAAAATCCACGCCTTTGGGTCTAATAATTCTTAAAAAATATTCTTTAAAAAATCCACGCCTTTGGGTCTAATAATTCTTAAAAAATATTCTTTAAAAAATCCACGCCTTTGGGTCTAATAATTCTTAAAAAATATTCTTTAAAAAATCCACGCCTTTGGGTCTAATAATTCTTAAAAAATATTCTTTAAAAAATCCACGCCTTTGGGTCTAATAATTCTTAAAAAATATTCTTTAAAAAATCCACGCCTTTGGGTCTAATAATTCTTAAAAAATATTCTTTAAAAAAACCACGCCTTTGGGTCTAATAATTCTTAAAAAATATTCTTTAAAAAATCCACGCCTTTGGGTCTAATAATTCTTAAAAAATATTCTTTAAAAAATCCACGCCTTTGGGTCTAATAATTCTTAAAAAATATTCTTTAAAAAATCCACGCCTTTGGGTCTAGTAATTCTTAAAAAATATTCTTTAAAAAATCCACGCCTTTGGGTCTAATAATTCTTAAAAAATATTCTTTAAAAATCCACGCCTCTTGGTCTAATAATTCTCGAAGAAAAATCCTTAAAAATCCACGCCTCTTAGTCTAATAATTCTCGAAGAAATATTCTTTAAAAATCCACGCCTCTTGGTCTAATAATTCTCGAAGAAATATTCTTTAAAAATCCACGCCTCTTGGTCTAATAATTCTCGAAGAAATATTCTTTAAAAATCCACGCCTCTGGTTCTAATAGTTCCCGAAGAAATATTCTTTAAAAATCCACGCCTCTTGGTCTAATAATTCTCGAATAAATATTCTTTAAAAATCCACGCCTCTGGTTCTAATAGTTCCCGAAGAAATATTCTTTAACACTAGAACGCCGAAGACGGTCATTTTGACTGCTTTCCAATTTCAAGTACAAAAGCAACTGTGCATTTAATGACACTTTTTTAAATTTGGTGAATTTTTTATAATAAACGTAATTCTATGAGGTACAAAAAGTCACCAAATTTAAAAAAACGTGTCATTAAATGCACAGTTGCTTTTGTACTTGAAATTGGAAAGCGGTCAAAATGACCGCCTTCGGCGTTCTAGTGTTAAACATCCACGCCTCTTGGTCTAATAATTCTCGAAGAAATATTCTTTAAAAATCCACGTCTCTGGTTCTAATAGTTCGCGAAGAAATATTCTTTAAAAATCCACGCTTTTGGGTCTAGTAATTCTTGAGAAAATATTCTTTTAAAATCCACGCCATTGGGTCCAATAATTCTTAAGAAAATAATCTCTAAAATTCAACGTCTTTGGATCTAAAAATATTGAGATAATATTCTTCATATTCTTCTTTTTGGTCCTAATATTTCTTGGGGCATATTCTTTAAAATTTCACGCCTTTAGGCAGAATATATCACAAGAAAATGTTCTTAAAAACCAAAAAAAAAAATACTCACCAATTAGAAAACCCATTTTACTATCAACCAAACTGCTAACATGATTCTGCGATGGCAATAGACTCTTTAGGGCATCCAATAGGCCATTGACCAACACCTGTTTCCCCTTGGCATGAGCCATTGGAACATTATAGATTACACTATCGGCTGGTATTAATTCACCCTTATAATCGGTGGCCATCATCTGAGCATAACTATTCAAATTTAACAACTTCATTTTAGATGTAGCATTCAGACCAGTCTTTTCCGATTGTATTTTCTCGGCAAATGATTTACTCAATACACTTTCCAACTGTTGATTTGTACTCAAACCCAAAATTGTCATAGCCCAAACATGATTCAGCCAATCGGAACTTTTGCTAAAATCTTGTTGGACAATTGTTTTGGCCAGTTTCTGTTGCACCTCTTCCAAATTGGTCGATTTAAAATTCAACATGGCTGAGGTTAAGAAGAGAGCACTTAAATCTTGTGGCCGGCAAATGTCGCTATGTTTAATTGTCCATTGGGTTAGAGATTCCAAAATATCTGAAAAATTAAAAAAAATATATAATCTCTATTTAGACCTCTTTCATAATTTTGTGACTTACCCAAATCCCGGTATTTCAAAATACCCAAACTAGTCAAAATGGAACCAATCACAGCCGATTTGTCGGTATTTTTTGGCAAAGCCACCTGGATGTCCGCACACAGTTTTGCCGCCAACACTGAATCTTGGAAATTTAAAGTAGCCATGGCATAGAAAACATCACCACACTGTTTCAAATCCAAATGTTCCGTTGAACTGCTAATGTTGAAAGCCAACGAACGTAGCAGGGGAGTACTACGTCTTTTACGTGCGGCCAGTGTGCTCATTACCTTCACCATTTGTGGTAAACTAATGCTAGCTATCAGTTTAGCAGCTTCATCATCACCGGCAACACCCAAAACTGTATTCAGATCATCCGTACGAAAACCCGAAATACGTTTTTGCGCATTATCTCCCGATGCTTTATCGCCGTTACCATTCTTTGGGACCGTACGTCCGAGCATACGGCATACCTTTAGGAATCGAGGATCATTTTCAAATTCATTTAATTTAACACGATTGATGCTACTCCATTCGGAGAGTATGGATACAATACGAAGGGCATGTTTGCGTGTCAATACAGTACCACCTTCGGTAATACCCAATAGGCCATTAATCGTCTTGGCATTGGTAATGCGTTCATCTACGCTTGCTCCCTTTGGCGAAGTGGAGGTGGAGGTTTTCGGTGATGACTGGGATTCATCTTTTTGTAAATTTTCAAAGGCAGCAGCAACAAGGGAGTCTAAAATGAATTAAAACACATTTAAAAATTAATCATCATCCCTAAATTATTTAAAAATAAAGACTCACATTTAGGATTTTTGGTGGCATCATCTGTGGCTTTTGTGGTTTCGCCCGATTCTTTGCCGGCACCAGCAGCACTAGTGGTGGTCATTTGTTTTGTTGCACCACTGGCAGCCTCAACGGCAGCCACATTCGAACTTGATCGCATGACACTGGCATTGCCAAATGCCGCCCGCCTAAACAAATGGCTGGCCGTGGTTGTATAGAAACGTAAGCCCATCATCTTGAGGTTTTCCCGAATTTAATGTGGATAACTGCCAGAGCCGCTAGAAAAATAAGACAAAAAGTTTACATAACCTTTTTTGTTTGTTTTGATTATAATTTTTTAAGGGATTTCGAAAATTTTTATATTCGGTTTTAGTTTACAATCAACTGCATCTATTCGATAGTAAATAATTGATTCGCTGACATCATTGTTACAGCCAATCAGCGTTGCCAACCATATGCCACCTTGAACCATATGTTTTTCAAATTGACAAGAATACCGATTGCTATGTGTAATGATTAATCGTGTGTATCGGAAGTCGATAATAGTGTGCAATATGAATTACCGTTAAATTTGTAAATGGAAGGTTTACTTTGTATCTGAAGTATAGCCCATCTGTCTGTATGTTGAAATTACGACAGAAAACGCAATATTTAAAATCTTCACAGACATTAGTTTCGTTACTGAACCAAAGAGGATCTACAATTTTACCAGTTTTGCTGTTTTTTACTGGAAATTCTTTCCTGTAGACATAAAACCAGAACAACTTTAAATCAAATTGTAACTTTTTACTAAAGAAATTTGGCAGAGTAAAAATTGTAACTAGAAAAGATAACTTCTGATTGTGAAGAATTACCATAGGATTTTAACATTTTCATCAGTTTTGCGTTTCAGAACTTTTCGTATTTGAAATTGTTCCCTTTTACTACTAAAAAGTTACTGGAACAAACAATATAACAATAACCCCCAATACTCGGTATTTTATGGATGTTGGGTATGTTGGTATTTTGGAATTCTGGGCAAGTTAAGCAACCGAATTGGCTGTAAATTCATATTTTGGTAATAATTGGGGTCTATACCAATGAAAATCATACCGAATTAAGATTGTCATTGATATAGACCCCAATATTCGGTATTTTGAGGATCTCAGATATTTTTTTCACCCCGAGTGTAATTAGAACTGCTTTTTGGTACTTTGTCAGCTCCAGAAACCGTGGATTTGGAATTTTGGGGTGTTACTCAAAAAAGGGATTGTGTCATGAACGCCTACAGGCTCTCATTCTACTTCTCAAGATTCAGGGACCCATTCGAAGGTCTTAATTGATTAGAAGTCTCTGACATTATCTTACTGGTTGTGCTCCGCTACTCGCAGTTTTATCCTACATTGCAGATGCCATTCGGATAGTTTCGACAGAATGAATTTTAGGTTTATCTTAATCAGAAGTGATCAAGTTCCTGTCGCGAACGATGGACCGGTTGCAGAAATCAACTTTTCTTTGGTATTGTGCTGATTATTCATCCATCGTTTCGATGAGAAGCTCATCAGCACTAGTGTCCAATAAAACGGCACAAACACTTTCGAATCCCGGAAGGACGGAAGACGTAACGGTGACTGATCCGAAGAGGTACTCGAGTTTTTTTACCGGCAGTTCATAGACACGAAGGATAATTTTTCAGACGTCATGTCGTTAGCCACCCACATTATTCGTGAAGCCTGGAAAATAGGCACGGTGGTCCCGCTGCTGAATGATAAGTATGTTTCAAGTCCCTCAACATCAACTTGTATTCCGGAGGACTTAACCAGAACAGATCGTACGACAGAACAGTTTTAGTGGCTCTTAACTTATCGAAAGCCTTCAATATCACTCCGAGTTGTTCGAGGATATACCTCTGGCCTAGTTTCAATCGATGGATAATCAATTACACGTGTGGTCGCCAGTAATATGTGGAATTCAGAAAAAATAAGCATTTGTGAAAGATTAAATGTCTTTATAGCTGATTTAGTGCAATTCTGTTATCTGATTTAGTGCAATGTATTATCGCCGGAATCATTCATGCCATCACCTTATGTGTAGAATTCCCCACCCAGACATGGAAGAAGAACACTACATGATCTAGAGTGAGAGATTCAACTGTATAAAAGAGAACCCCTAGTCAACAAGCTTATCGAGCAGGAATTACCAGCATTCACACGGGAGCAGTGACCCACGCAATGGGCCAGTACCACGTGAATGCAGTTCTTAGAGTCCATCCACCACTTATAGCAGCAGAAGAACGACAGCTGCCAAGACAAACGAGAGTGGTTTCAATTAACATCGATGCAATTATGTGATGTATTTTTTCCGAATGGACGTACGTATGTTCAGCTGTTTGAATTTGTTGGACAATTGCAAGTCAAAGAAAAGGATGAAAAGGCAACAATTACAAATTATTATTTCGTTTGTAGGTGTTTAATAAAAAAATGATGTTGATTTAAGAAAAAATAAAATTGTTTTTTTCTTTATATGTAGGTTATGTCATATGTAAAATACATATGTAAATGTTTTGTGTACCCGCTAATTTTGACACACATAAGGAATTACATATGGACAGCACATATGTAAAATACATATCGTGTAAAAACACCATAAGTTTGTTGTTGTTCAACTGTCAAACACGTCTCTTTTACTGCCCTGCATTTGGTAACAATTCTTACCAAATATCGTGGACTTGGACCTCAAGATACGCTGCATCTTTCAACCTTCCTTTGTCTGCGAGTAGAACGAGTATCTCCTGGTCTCCTATTAACAAGGTTATGCAGGGAGACCAGCTAGATATCAGTTGCCTCTCAAGTTTGTTGTCAAAATCCTTTATTGTGAATTGACTTCCATTATGAAAACGTAAACAAAGTCCAGAATTTTGACATTCGTCTTAAAAAAACAGCTGACTTTCGCTAGCTGGGTGACCTTATTAATAGATCTTGCCTCTATCCAAACGATTACTTTCTATCAACAAATTTCCATGTTGTTGTTTCGGATTATTGTAGAACAACACTTGCTGTTCTGCAACAGAATAATTATTGTATCATGCATGCAAGTAACAGGTTACTATATTTTGGCATTTCCTTTTTTAACTGTGTACAAACTATCGATAATGCGTAATCGATTTATTTCAAGTCGACTTATAGATACCTATCCCATTTTTGATGGGACAGCAAAGCAATTTCGTCGTCAGTCATTTTCTTCGTAAACTTATTAACTAATTTATTTTTTTGTATAAAATTTCTTTTGGTTATTTCCAATATTTTAATTTTTCATATTAAAAAAAGAGTAAACAACAAAGCTTTAAGCTAAAGCAACATATACAATGAAATAAACGGCAATTTTGAACGGAAAGAAAAAAATCAAGAAAAGGAAAAAAATAGAAACGTGTACAGTGAAGAAGAACGAACGAGCAGTGACAACGACAAAAGAAATCAAGTGGCAGACAGTCTATGCAAAATTCTGCTTTTCCAATTCGATTTTCCGAGAGTGTGAAGATATTTTGAAAAACCAAATTGAGTTTCTTTGTGAAAAAAAGCTGTGAAAAAAGAACCCAAAAAACGACAATCCAAAAAATTCCATAACACACAGCAAAACAGGAAGGAAATAATACAAGAAGCAAGCCAGCCCTTTCCACAAATAAGAATACAGCTCATAACAAAATGGTTGATAAATTTATAAATATGTGGAAAGTACGTGAATTGGCGGATAAAGTGTAAGTGAAATTCAATGAGATGGATAATATAAGTTGCACACTTATCGTAATTAATCAATGTAGGTAGAGTGGGGGGAATGGTGATTGGTCAAGGAGAACGGCCATCATTGATGATGGAGGGGGTGGCTGTCATTATCGCCAATCAAGGAGATTTCCAATAGATACCACTTGCTTTGTGGTAAAAAATCAAATTAACAAATATGTGCCATAAATCTGGTCAAGGTGAAATTTCGTTGGAAAGATGATGATGACGACGTCGATGATGATTGTCTTATTGGTGGCGGTGACGGCGGCAGTGGCAACAAAAATCAATTGCAGATATAGATAAATAGCCTGAACTGAAGACGTTGATATACAAACTAAACTAATTTACTTGCAACTGCTCGCAAAAAGCAGCTCCCCTTTACTTTAAGGAGGCATGCAACAGCCATCCTTTGTGACAATCACTAGGCAATATTAAGATGCCTGTACTCGCCTCTATGCTATGATATTCTTGAATGTGCGAGATTTTTTCTTTAAAGACAAGCTTTAGTTTTTCTTCTTTAGAGTCAAGGTAGTCTGTCTCGTCACATCTATTTATGTAGCATGTTGTTGACTAGCTTGCTTGCAAGCAAGTTGGCTGTTAAGCTTTGTGTTCTTGTATTTGTCATGTTCGTTCATTCGCGTTTTTTTTTTTTGCTTTTGTTATGGTAAAGACAACAACAACAACACTACAAGTGGCTACACTTGCGTACTGGTTTTACTGCTTCTGCCTTCCCGCTTCGCTCAAGTCTAGCTAGCTATGGCACCCCATTCCTCACATTTATTCTGTTAACACTACTTCTCCTCTATTCGATGTGTTGTTAACTTTTATTCGTATATCTTATGTTATAACATTTATACGTACGTACGAACCAACCTACCTACTTTTTGTTGTTTATTTTGTACTTGACTGTCGAATGAGATTGCATTCTATTATTTGTTTTTTTTTTGTTGTTTCTGTTATCATTAAACAATTTATTGTTTTTTAGATATTGTTACTGTTCAGTCTAGCTAGTGTGCCACCACACACACGCTCAACACGTAAACCACTATCACAATTTTGTCTGGTTTTAAATTGTGTCCCCCTTTAACAAAACTTCGGGAACATTGAGTCTCCCTTATTTGTCGGCTGATTGGTTAAAACACCTGCGTTTCTCACCGTGTGTGTGTGTTCCATATTTGGTTCACACTTTTCTTTCTGGACTGAGTGTATACGTCAGTTATAGCTGATGGTGGTTACGTTGTTGGCTTTTTTCATGGCAAATATTTTACGGAAGATTAAAGAGGATTAATTGTTTTGTGTAATTGGATATTTATTTGCTTATGCGACAATAAATGTTAACGAGCTGTCTAATAGAGGATAGATAGAAAATAGTAGTGCAGTATAAGAGCACATTAGTTAGTTCGTATGGATAACATATTTCTCTATGTCCATAATGTGGGCGCGTTGAATTTAATTTGAACCTACATTAATTCAACGATTTATTGTATCAGCAACAATTTTTGAAATAAAGGAACTAAATGACCAGTAATGACTCCGGTCATTACTCTAATTTCAGCTTTACTCAGATTTAACAGTGAATTTGACACATTGCACCTAGGTTCGTTGTGCCAAAGTTCATTGGCTCATTCGTCAAAGAACGCCTCAAAATTCCGGAAAAGGTGACAGATGGATGGTTTTATTGAGTCATCGATTGCTAGATCTGAAGATTGTTCTAGTTCTTCTACTTGTTTATTACCCATGTTTTCACAATGTCCTGGTACCCAGCACAGCCGATAGCTTTTAATAAGTGTTTCCAAAACTTCTCTATGACGACCTCAGACTTGATGTTACAGTATTTGATGGTTTTAAAAGCCACCTGACTATCCCAAAAGATAGTCACTGGTTCAACGATCTCCGCCTCCAGATTTTTTATCAATTCAGATGCCTTCCAAATCGCAAAGATTTCAGCTTGGAAAACACTACAGTTGCTATCCAAATTACTGAACCCTAGCATTCCCCTGGAGACGTCAGCCCGTGTACCTTCTTCCATCTTGGATCCGTCTACATAAAAATCCAGACAGTCCAGAGGAGGGTTACTACGGTTCCAGTCCTCTCTACTGGGGATAACGACATCTACATCGTCAAATCTCGTGTGATATATAGTCGCTTAGTTTTCCACGTTGGTCCCATGTGATACATTGTTCGGTCAGGATACGCCCATACATCATAAGTACAATTTCGCCAAAGATTCTGTTCATACAGCCTTAGGTCACTACGTGCTGCCTGATGCTTAATGCTGAAACCCAGAGGCCTTAAGTACTGTTATAAGAATCGACCTTGTCTAATTGTCTGGATGTCGACTTATGGCGAAGGCAGTGCCACCAAACAAGACATCCATAGGATAGGATGGTGTTATACACCCAGTGTATAGACGATGGTTTCAGCGAGTGGATTCAAGTTCAACATTGTTGAAGGCACCAGTTTCCATATTCCTCTCAATAAAACCTATCAACTCATGCAGTGCAGATTCCAGTCGTGCGAATTGCTTAGAGAACTGGTGACTACATGACTCCTAATCTCCTAGTCGATCCGTCTTTCGAGAGTCTTGAGGAGTAAGGACACAATGGATAAGGATGATGCATTCAGACGTCATAAAGTGTACAACATAATTCTGACTCAAACGACTAAAAAACCAATATCCACCAATTGTTTAGCACTTGCTCCCACTCGAAGACCCTTGATCCATTGTGCTCATCCTAAGTACCTTGAAAATAACCATATAAACGAGGAAAGGAAAAAAGTGGGAAATAGTGGAAGAGATTATATGCTATAGCTTATGCTATAGCTTAACCATGACAATTTTTGTCTACATACTTTGTAGTGGCACCTTTGGTATCAAAAAAAAAAAAAACGTGGCATGGCCGAAATAGTGTATCACAATTGCTACTTTAGTGGCTGACGGTCGCGTTGTCTCTCAGTCAACAGATCGAACGACTGCGATCTGTTTCCACGTTCCACGACAAAGGGGTCTACGATCCGATACGACCTGAGTCATACTCGTCCAACGTCTGTCACTTCAGCTCATTGTGTAAAAGCAATAGGACTCCTACAACAATAATTTAAATGCCGTTTATTTCACTATGTCCTGTTTGGTTTATTGGCCGACATTTATAGTCACCGGTCATAGATTTTCAGAAGTAAATGTTTTGAATACAGAGGTCTTTAATTTCATATGAGTTATTAATTTCTAGGCATATAACTTTTCATATAAATAATAATGTTATTTGGCCCCTTTTGCAGTTTCAAAACTACTCCCAAATATATATAATATGTTTTCTACCAAAAGGAAAAGGTTTCAATTTCCACTTAAGTTTTTAAGCAATATTTCCATGGTATAATAATAAAAGGTAACAGCAAGTGTTGTTGTACAAAAAACGATACAACAACCACATCGAAATTTATTGTTGTAAGTTCTACTAGTGTCAACTCATTTGACAGAAAAATTTAAACAAACAAACAAATTATCATCAAATTATTTTTATTTAGAAAATGGAATATTTTCGAATCCTCAAAATAAAAATTGAAAAACATGAATGAAAATCTGTCAAATTTATATTTCTATCGCTTCCACATCTTTCCTTTAATTGAGCCATTGCCATATATATGTGTAACACATATGACAATGCTGGGAATAGCGAGTTATTCCTTCAAGAAAGATTTGCTTCTTGAATACGGGAGCACATTAATAAAGAACAATTTCAAATTTTATGCGTTCCCAATTTTCGTGTTGGGTGATTTTTAAAAACATAATTTGTCAAATTCATATTGACACTAGTATTACGTTGTAATCAAATCAGCTGGGATTTGCTGTTACCTTTTATAGTTGTACCATGCAATATTTCATAGGCTCAACAAATTATGCAGTCGTATACATACATGAGAAGATTTCTATGGAAAAGCAAAACGAAATTATTTTGTAATTTTATAGCGTAACTGAAACAACAACAAAAACCATGTCAAATCTATTTTCACAACTGTCGAATTAGAGAGGCTAACATTTCACACAACAACTATTTATTTGACTTCAAATAAAAGTGTTCATAATAAACAAAGTAAACAAACATTAGTTAAAAAAACTCGGAAAACTAATACTATTAATTGCCCATCTACATTCCCACACACACCATTACTCACAATACACATTAGTTGATTTTTTTATCAGTTACGAGAAAATTGAAGAAAACAAAAAATAAAACGAAAACGAAACACAAAATGTGTGATAAACTTCTACTACACCAATTTGTTCTTAGAAATTGCTTGCTGCTGTTGTTATCTTTCGTTTGGAGGCACTCCATGCATGCCTGCCATACAACACCATAAATCGAGCCAAGTCAAGTCGTCGAATATTCTAACTAAAAATAAATTTCGAAAACCACTTGAAATTAGTAGAGAAGCGAGCTAGTCATATAATATTTAATTGAGTTTTTAAACAAATCAAAAATAATACACTCTTTTTCAAATATGAATTAACAATTAATACAGCCTGCCCCTCTGCATTAATAATTCATTAAATATAATTTCCAATACAACCTGCCTGCCTGGTCGTGGTTGGGTGTATTGGTCACATTAAAAGGTTTTTAATGAGAAACAAAAAAACAACTCTTTCTTTTTTCTCAATGTCGGAAATAAGCCGTATATTTATTTCCGTCACGCTATGCAATGCCGGGTTAAACGCAGACAGGGGAATCATTTTTAAACAAATTATAAAAAAATGCATTCCCATTGCGATTGTTGTGTTTTGTGTAAGGGAAAGTATGATGGAGGAAGGGAGTGGTAGTTGTTTGTAAATGGTTGTATTTTTTTTCTTCTTTGTAGTATTTTCTATATTCTGACACACATTTCCATCATATATTTATATGTATATGAATAATAAATTAATGTTTTTAATTAGCTGTTGTTGTTGATGATGGCGGTGTGACGTTTTATTGTGGCACCATGTCATTCTCTCTCTGTGGCTAAGGTGCCCTGCAAATAAATGTATAAACAAGTTATAATAAAAGGCTTAACCATATTTTTCTGTTTTCATTTTATATGATTGAGTACGACCGCAATTAAATCGATGAAATAATAATAATAATATTGTTGTTTGTCCGAAAAAAAAAACAATTATGATCAAACAAGTACCCAAAATTCTCGGTTTATTTCATAATAGACACACATGTCGAATTGAAATTTTAACCATTTATGGAAAAAACTAAAAAATATCCAATATAGACAGGTTATTTATCCTTTCAGATCTGTTTAGTAAAATATATAAAATACTTGAATACATTGTGATTTTTTTTACATCAAAATATCCTGGAATATCCAACGTTTTTTTAGGTTTAACCGTTCGCCGAATAAGTTAGGATAAAAAATCCACGGCAGTTGCTTCATTATTTAATATTCTGAAAGAATATTAAAATAAACAAGTCAAAAAAGCATTAAGTTCGGCCGGGCCGAACTTTGGATACCCTCCACCATAGGAATACTGACAGATACTTGAAATGAAAATATAGGGAACACATGCTGTAAACCAAATACAAATATCAGCAATTTTAAGGGGGTTTACCCTAAAATCTCAAACCCCGAAAATTCTGACCTCCAAAACACGGAAGAAATCAGTTAACTATTTTAATTTTTTTTTTATATTTATTTTTATTTAACAATTCCAAAGTCCGAAGACCACATTTAAAAAAAAATATTTTTTGTAAGGAGATTTGTTTCCAAATACGAATACAAAATACCAAATTACAGCGAAGGATACCGTTACATGGGGGCTATCAGGAAAAAATTGACCTATATTTATAATTTTGAAGTGGAGAACTTTAATGTGCGTGAAGATAAATTCGAATTTGAGTAGCGAAGGCACACACCAGTTTGGGTGGTTGTGTGCGATATAACAGTTTTGTTATACAGTATAACAGACTGCTGTAAATGCAAATTCGATTTTAGAACACATATATACTACTATTAACATATATAAATATAATATTATAAAACTAAAATGTAAACTAATGTATATTTTTGCACACATATATTAATATTAATAAATTAAACTATTTGCTTCAAAGGCAAGATAATTGGTATTGGCCCACTGTGCAAAATTTTGGAGGCAGGTGCCTCTATGGCTGATGTCATTTGAAAGGTCATCGAAAGAGCTCTTAGAACATGTTTCACTTTTATTCCCAAGTCAACCATAACTCCCAAAATTTGACCATTTTAAAATTCAAGGAGTGTTTTTTACTATTGGCCCACTGTGCCAAATTTTGGAGGCAGGTGCCTCTATGGCTGATGCCATTTGAAAGGCCATCGAAAGAGCTTTATTTCCAAGTCAACCATAACTCCCAAAATTTGGCTATTTTAAAATTCAAAGGGTATTTTTTTAAATTTTCCCACTGTGCCAAATTTTTGGAGTTGTGGTTGACTTGGGAATAAAAGTGAAACATGTTCTAAGAGCTCTTTCCATGGCCTTTCAAATGGCATCAGCCATAGGGACACCTGCCTCCAAAATTTGGCACAGTGGGAAAATTAAAAAAAAAACACACTTTGAATTTTAAAATGGCCAAATTTTGGGAGTTATGGTTGACTTGGGAATAAAAGTGAAACATGTTATAAGAGCTCTTTCGATGGCCTTTCAAATGGCATCAGCCATAGAGGCACCTGCCTCCAAAATTTGGCACAGTGGGAAAATTTAAAAAAATACACTTTGAATTTTAAAATGGCCAAATTTTGGGAGTTATGGTTGACTTGGGAATAAAAGTGAAACATGTTCTAAGAGCTCTTTCAATGGCCTTTCAAATGGCATCAGCCATAGAGGCACCTGCCTCCAAAATTTGGCACAGTGGGCCAATACCAATTATCTTGCCTTTGAAGCAAATCGTTTAATTTATTAATATTAATATATGTGTGCAAAAATATACATTAGTTTACATTTTATTTTTATAATATTATATTTATATATGTTAATAGTAGTATATATGTGTTCTAAACTCGAATTTGCATTTACAGCAGTCTGTTATACTGTATAACAAAACTGTTATATCGCACACAACCACCCAAACTGGTGTGTGCCTTCGCTACTCAAATTCGAATTTATCTTCACGCACATAGAACTTTAATACCCAATAAAAACTGAATGTACCAAATTTCAGCAAATTCGGTAGAAAAACGCTCTTGAAAACCCCAAAATACGGAAAATTGGGGGTACCGTTATATGGGGGGCTACCACAAACAGTGGACCGATATTTTTAACTTTTTGTGGAAATATTTAGTACCCAATAAGAACCCATTGTAGAAACCATTTCAGCGAATTTGGTTGAAAAGCGCGCTCAAGAACCCCAAAATATTGAAAATTCGGGTGTACCGTTAAATGGGGGCTGACACAAAAAGTGAACCTATATTTATATTTTTTGGTGGAGAAATTAAACATTGACAAATATCAAATTGTCCTTTGGTATACCTTCCTATCCAGTGGCTCTTTGTACTTCAAATTTTTTTGGTTGACACTGCAGTTCGCAGCGGTGTTTCCAAAGTCTCTATGGAGCTTCCATTATTAACTACTTTACCACTCGTAACTAATTGCTTCTTCCAAAGCAATGGCTTATCGGCATCTGCCGAAGCATGTAAGGTGAGGTAAATTTGAAAAGTCGACGACTCTTTTTGGCTTGATAGCGAGACTTTCATGTTTTTTTTTTACTAAAGTGGATTCTACTGTATCCCTCAATAAGATTGGGGAGTAATTTGCTCTGTCAATGAAGTTGCCCCCAAAAGATATTTATGTTCACTAAGTTTAGCGTGTCATTGTACTTTTTGTGCATAAAGAAGAATCGGCGTCCGTGTCAAAATGAAAAAATCGCTGTTGCAAACATACATTTAATGTGAAAAAATGGTGGGGGCTCTTGTTGTAACAGCCCTATTGCTTTTACACAATGGGCTGAAGTGACAGACGTTGGCCGAGTAAGACTCGGATCGTAGACCCTTCTATGTATTATCAGCAACCTTTGGACACGTCCAATAGCATTTTGCTTTGCCTCCTGTAGGTTTAGCTCTGTTACTCTCTAATATAACGGTTACTGAAGATTGTAGATATTTAAAGGTTTTTGGACAAATTTTTCTTTGCCATTTTTATAAAACAGAAAACTTCTTTGGAAATAATTATCCTTTCCGATTTTTGAAATTTTAAGAATGTTGGACATGATTTTTCAACGGAACTGATTACTGTTTGATAATATTTTTCGATATTTAAGAATTTGGATATGTTTTTATTTGACATTTGTTAAAGATTTTATCTATACCATACAGGACTATTGTTGCATGTCCCGTATAGGTGTCCTGGAGTGAAGTCCCAAATCGGAAATCAATAAATATCCCAAAGTGATGAACCATATGCCAAATAATAATTACTTTTTCAAAATTGATTTTTTAATTAATTCACTAAATTTTGTGTGTAGGTGGTATTTTTATATATTATTTCAAAATCATTTTTCAAACATGCTAACACAATAGAAAATAGAAATAAATCAATAGCTGTGTTATGTGATTTTGTCATGCAAAGCCATGGTGGACGTGATAGCTAATGCCAGGTTTTGTTGTTGGTGTATTTTTTTTATTTTTAAGTGTTTCGTCAAAAGGTTTGGTAGCTATATGGTGAATATTACATTCACTTATTATTAGTTACACTATACAACAACTATCCAAAACAGAATTAAAAAAATATCTAATAATTTTTGAAAGTTCATAAAGTTTTTATTTACAATTTTTGTTAGGATTTTTATAACAATTTATCTTGACCTACATAGAAGACCCGACAGTCCTAATATATTTATTTTAATAATTTACTGGCTCAAAGCATAATTTTTACTCCCTAAAATTAATCGAACAACTCTTGTTTTTTTTTACAGCTCCCTTATTTTAAATCAGAACGATTAAAAAATATATTTTATTAATTTTTGTTTTCTTTTCCTTTGTTATTCTCCTTTAGCACAAATGTTGTTATGAATTACACGGAAATCGAAGGCAAAGTACGTGAAGCCACCAATGATGATCCCTGGGGTCCAACTGGTCCGCTAATGCAAGAATTGGCTCACGCCACATTCTCATATGAAACATTTCCAGAAGTAATGTCCATGCTGTGGAAACGAATGCTGCAAGACAATAAAACCAATTGGAGACGAACTTATAAGGTATAAATAGGTGGTCAATATCAATAATGTCCCAACAATAATTTCATATTTTTTCTGCAGAGCTTATTACTATTAAACTATCTCGTGCGTAATGGTTCCGAACGTGTTGTAACATCATCACGAGAACACATTTATGATTTACGTTCCTTGGAAAATTACACTTTCACAGATGAGGGTGGCAAAGATCAGGGTATTAATGTTAGGCATAAGGTGAGTTTAAAGAGAATATTTGAAAATGAGTTGTATAAAGTAATATATTGTTATTTTTGTTTTTGTTCGCTTTTAGGTTAGAGAACTAATAGACTTTATACAGGATGATGATCGTTTACGTGAAGAACGTAAAAAGGCCAAAAAGAATAAGGACAAATACATTGGCATGAGTAGCGATGTAATGGGTATGCGCAGCAGTGGTGGTTATGGTGGCGGCGGTGGTTTCAGTGATGGTGGCTGGAGAACATCACGTTCGGATCATGGTGATAATTGGTGTAAGTAGACATTAATTTAAATACAAAGAAGAACGTCTGCCTCAGAGGAATCGGCTAAAGTCGACGCACAACCACAACTGAAGTTGTCCCCTTCAGCAATTATAGTCCTTTGCGATGGATATGAACTTTTTTTATGTTAGAATAATCCTAGTAATTACATTAATTTTTTGCATGTAATTTTTTTATGTAATATTAGGTCGAATATGCTCGTCAGCTATTAAATCCCTTCTTCCATCACAACAACTTGGGGCCCATGTCTAATTAAATGGCGTTTGTCACGTGGTTGGGGTCCTTGCGTTTTTATAGATATAAGGCCACATTAATTGGTCCTGAATCATATTGTAAATAAATCCAGTTGGCCTTTCCCTTTCCAATTCTCACTACCATTCGCTATTATTATTCTTACGAGTCTTCGCCAAAACCATTATTTTTATTTAAACCCTCATTCGTTTTTACTTTCAGATTCTGATTCACGTGGTGATCGTTACGAAGACGATGATGTCCAATATGAAGGTGAAAAGGAATTCTCAGATAGTGATTCCCCTAGTCCAAGGTATGTTTTTTCATTATTTCCCATACACCACTTTTCAAAAACGGTTAATTATTTCATATTTCAATTTACAGGCGAAGCTATCGCTACAATGATCGTGCCAGTCCTGCAGATATTGCTACTGAAGCAACAACAACAACAAAACCAACTGGTGGTAGCATTAATATGAATATTCGTCCTGCCAAGTCGTCGCATAATGCACCCGCAGCCGGAGGGCCGGTTACAAAACAACCACAAAATAAGTCCACGCCGGCTGCTGCTGGTGTAGGTGCGAAGAAAATCGATATGGGAGCTGCTGCTAATTTTGGCAAAACAGCTGGTATACATTCGCCCACACATCGTGATACCCCAGCCGAAAGTAATAATGACGATTTAATTGGCTATTCACCAATTAATAATAACATTAACTTGGGCCTATCAGATTTGGATAGTAATAACACCACCGCAAATAACAATAATTTAACAAATCTATTTCCAACATGTTCACCAAAAAGTGAAAAAACCCTTAACAGTGCTGCTGTTATCAACGATGATTTAGACGATTTCAATCCCCGGGCTGCTGAACAACAGCAATCGGAATTCGGCGATTTTGCTTCAGCTTTCAGTGGTAGTTCGGGCATCGAAGCTCCCTCAACAGCTTTAGCAACGACCACAACAAACTCAAGTATTGGTGGTGGTGATGATTTTGCTGATTTTTCTGCATTCCAAGGTAGTACAACTACCAGTAATAATATTATACCTGGTGGTTTGGAAGGTAACCTTCTGACCACTGCAACTCCAGCCAACGATGCATTTGATCTATTTAATGCTGCAACGACGACGGCGAATTCAAATCACCACCAACCAACCAGCATGGGTGCTGCTACAACAGCAACAGATCTACTAGCTGGACTAGGAGATCTATCAATACACCAAAGTATGCCAATGGGTAAGTTATATGATGTTAGTTTTGAAATGAAAAATATAATTATATTTAAGTTGTGTTTTGAAAACTCTGGTGATAAATAATTTTTGCATTTTGTGCTATATGTTGGTTAGGCAATATTTTTATAGAATGATTGGGTGCTTTTATTTAGTGCATGTTTAGATAAAAATAATCTATAAGAAAAGAATTTTATGGATAAAAATTGTTATTTCTTTGTCGGCTAGCCGATATTTTTTATGAAACCTTAGATTTACGAAACGTGGATTAATCAATTTCTATAACAAAGTTGTGTATAACTTATACTGAACATAAGCTTGTGTTCAGTATGCGATTGCCATAGAAGGGATCTTCTAATTAGATTCTCAGCAGAGATATTTTTGATTACAAGAGATCTAACTGTAGGTTTCTGTAATGCGATAGGTAACCTATTTTAATACGGCCTAAAAAAGTTAATCCTATTATTTTGCACGAAGTTGTTGCAATTTTCTTTCTAAGTTAATTTTTTGCATTTTCTAAGTTCATTCTAACAAAAAGAGTAGATGTGAATGTTTATGGCAAAAATTAGAACATAAAATTTTCCGAAACCAAAATAAGAATGTCCAGAAAACGTCACCGAAGGTGCAGAGGTCTTTCTGTTTCAACCCCAATATAATGTCCCATGTCTGAGTTAATTGAGTTAATTTAAATAATAATCTGCAATATATAACCAGCTGATGGTTTTCAACTTAATTAGACGAGACCATTAAGCTTAATGACCGACCTACATTCTTCGATATTAGTTCAAATGCCATAGGAATTATTTCAAAAATAATATTTTGTTGTTGTGGTTGTAGCAGTTTATATGAATTGTATGTTTCCTGTTATGTATCCTCCAATTCTGTCTCCAGATTTAGAAATGCAGCTACCTCCACTGGCTGTAACCACAGATCTTCCGGAGTGGGGTGAGTAGGTTTGGCTGGGCAATTGAATAAGTGCAGTGTGGTATGAGGGCCTGTACCACATGCTGGGCAGACATCCTGCACCTGGTCATCAATCCGTGCCCAATACGAATTGAGCCGACTGCACCATCCAGAACGTAACTGAGCCAAAACTACTCTGGTTTGTCTCGGCAGCTGACGTTCTTCAGCTGCTATGGGTGGGGGTGAGCTCGGGGACGGCATTCACTTTGTAACCGTTCAGCGCTGCGGCTACTGCATCTGTGTGAATGCCATTCAGACCTGCTCGATAGGCAACTTGATCTAGAGGCTCCCTTTGAAAAATAATATTTTAGATTTCGGTAGCTTTCATACCTTATCTTTTTTGGAGTGACAAAGTATGTAATTTTTACTCCTGAGCCCAGCTATATGTTTTTAAAAATATATGGCTTTTGGACTAAGATCCTGGTGGAGAGATTGAGGGGGAGTAACTCTGCTGCTGCAGCCTTACAGTGGGGCAGACACTGCTTCAATCACTTGCCTTTGTAATGAACAGAGTTGGAAATTAATGCCCCACCAATTCATACACAACAGCATAAAGAAATATGCCATTGTGCTGTTGTGTAGGTCCAGTCCATTGTTCTTCAGCTTGTTCCAGCTATCCATATGAAGACCGATGGTTTGCTTCCCGGCCAACCTCTGCATCTGCCGCAGTTCCAAGCGAGGAGGTGGAACCATGCCCTATGTATCATCCACGCACGGGTGCAGCCGATATTTTTGTACCCTCCCAAGGTTAGGTTAGGGATGTACGGTATAACATCCGTTCACTCGGAGACAATTGTCCATTGTGATCATCTTTGATACCTGAAAGGAAAGGGGAAAAGAAGAAAGAATGGAAGAGAGGAAGAAATAGTTTGAGTTGGAGAGCCTAGAAGATGATTATTTTAGCCATGTCAGATTCTTGGAAAATCTGATTGGGATCTATTTTGGAGAAGAAAGCTATATTATCAATTTCATACCTTTCAAACTTTTTATGTCTTCTGCCACTCAGCGATGGACATCTACAGAGGATATTATCAATTGTTTCTAGCTCTTCTTCGTCCTCACGTAGCGGGGTTTTACATTTATTGGGATCAGGATTGGTGTTTAGAGTGACCTTTTATGATCCCCACAATGATTTTGATTTCTATCTCTCTCTCTTATTATGTGGCATCAGCGAAGAAGTTCTTCGGTGAGAGAATTCTGGCCAGATAGCTTTTGAGATTCTGCAACCAAGTTCTCTCGACCATCTGTTGCCGACTACCTCGCCGAAGAACTAGCGAAGAACTAGTAGAGACAACTGGAACCGGAGTAACCCTCTTCTGGACGGCCTGGCTTTCTATACAGACGGATCCGACATGGAAGAAGGTACTGTGAAAGGCTAGGCCTTGAGCTTACCTACAAGCTGGATTGCAATTGTAGTGTTTTCCAAGCTGAAATTTTCGCGATTTGGAAGGCAGCAGAATTGATAAAAAGTCTGGATGCAGAGGTCGTTGAACCGGTGACCGGTCGTTGAGCGGCTCTTAAAGCCATCAACTCTTGTTATATCAAATCTGAGGCCTCAAGTGTAGAACAGCTTTGGAAGAACTTACTTACAGCTACCGACTGTGTTGGGTACCAGGACACCGTGACATCTTGGGTAATGAAAGAGCAGACGAATTAGCTAGAAGAGGATCTCAATCTACAGATCTAGCAATTGACGGCTCAATCAAACCACCCATATGTCATCTTTATCGGAATTTTGAGGCGTTCTTCGACGAAAGAGCCTATGAACTTTGACACAACGAACCTAGGTGCAACGTGTCAAAATCTATTTGGCGAACTCTGTCTACCAAAAGAACACACACACTGTTGAATCTGAGCAAAGCTGAAATAAGAGTAATGACAGGAATCATTACTGGTCATTGCATTATCAGGGCCTTTACCAGTAAATGGGACCATAATGCTACTGATTACTGTAGACTCTGCGTTGACGAGGAGGAGACGGAGATAATTGAGCATCTCCTGTATCGCTGCCAAGTCCTGGCTCTCAACAACGGAATCTGCTCTAATCTACAGCATCATTAGAAACCTAAAGTGGTTGGGAAAGTGAAACCTTGATATACGTAATATATCTTCCGTCCGATCTCTATAGTCATCGATACTATCTCATACTCACCTTCTCACACTTCCTTGTAAGTTTCTCATCTCTCTCTCTAACCCCCCTTCTTTTCTCCCATAAACATGTCGTAAACATGTGTGGTCAAAAGCACCTCCTAGTATCGAAATTTGAAAATACCCAAATTTCTATTGGAATAACTGAACAACAAAAATGTGATAATAATAAAATTGATATTAGCAGAATTTTTAATATATTTTTCCAGTTGCAACTATCAGATTCTCAACTACCGTGGATTTAATGCAATATTATTTTATCTCTAGATATGCCTAAAAATTTATGTTCATTGGGTATTATTTTCCGAAAATTTACAATTTCTTTTAGAAATGTTCTTTCTAGAAATTCGTTAGTGAACCAAGCTTTAATGTTTTTTTCACATTGAATTGATACCTCCAGCAGGTGTTCTGAAGACCAGAAGACCTAAAGAAGGTTTCAAAAATCTATTAAATATTCCACTGCTAAAATATTGTATTCAGCTTCTATGTGTCCTACCGAGAATTTAAAATTGAAAAATAATTATAAAAAAGTAGTTAATTGTCTACTTTAAATACAAAAACTAAGTAGAAGTAATTTGTAAAATTGTTGTTCAAACCAAAACAAAAAATAAATAATAAACAATTATTTAATGGAAACATGTGCCAATTGGATGCCTTCAATTTTTCCACTTTCAGCGGATGATGATGATGAAGATGATGGCGGCGATGATCATGATGATGATGTCACCAGTGATAACAAATTCCCGGCAAAACTTAAACAAGAACTCATTGATGCCATTAACAAATTACAGAAACTTGAAAAAGTTCAATCATCGCAGGATGTAAAACAAATCCAAGAAATTATTACCAATTTATGGTGTTGTGAAGGAGGTGGAGGCGTGGCATTACCAGGATTTACCACACCTGAACAACTATGTAATTTAGATAAAAATGCAATACCATGGCATTTGATAGCTGAAAATGAATACTCCGAGCTGTTACAAGCCATTTGTGGGCTGTTTAATCCAGATTGGCCCACAAATATGGGAATGCAGGAACGCTACATAATGAATATATTTAAAATTGATTATAATTTTGATTTTATATTCGAATCATGGTCATGCATAATGCAAAAATTACCCGCATTACCCCAAGTGGTAATGGAAATTTTGGAATTTATGTTAAGCGATGAGAATTTCATGTTTGTGGCATTTTTACAAATCTGCAAGGAGAGGGCCCAGCTAATGGAAGAATATAAAGCCACCATGGAAGCTGTTCCAGAAACTCAAGTGGAACGATTTAATATGAAAGTGAAACAATTCATACAATTGATAATTTCCATACCCACCCACTGTGCCAATCAAATGCAGGGGAAAGTTAAGGATATTTTTCTCTCTTGCAATTATTCCAAACTTTTGTTACAAAATGTAATCAAAACGATATGGTTTCTAATGCATTGTGAAAATTTGGAAGAGAATTATTTTGATTTGAAATTCCTATCGGAATTGCTAACACGAATTGTGGTGGAATTTTGCAAGGAATTCGGAAAAGATTCCACACTCTTTGAAATTTTACAAATTATAGAGGAATTTTGTAATTTCCCCCCGGGTCAACAAATAATGCATTCAATATTTAAACAAATTGAAGATAATATTGCCATATACCGGATTGTTTTGTGTATGCTTAATGGCGATTTGGATATTTATAAAATTGTGGGGCCCTGTGCCAAGGATTCCGCCAATTGGGAATTTTGTTTTATGCAAAAATTGGCCATACAAAGAATACCCAATCAGAATAATTGTCTTGTTGGGTTGGTGAACTATGTCCGCCAATTGGATTTTGATTTATTAAGAAAGCTTTTTGAAAATGTCCTAAATATATGGTCCAAACGTACTGCCCTACTCAAGTTATCGGAAACTGAACATTTGAATCTATCCAAATTGCTGATGTTGTGTGGAAGATGTTATTGTAAATCAAAAGGAGGAGATACGGATGTGGATATAAAACGTTTGCTGCACGAAGGACTACGCCATCATTTGGAATGTCCAGATGCCCGACAACGTCATATTGGCATGAAATGTGTGGAAATTCTTTTCAATTTAATGTGTGATCCAGATATCAAGGATGAAGATAGATTGAAATTTGATTACTCCAGTATTCAGGGTACAACTCTGGAAAAAATACTCAAAGAGTTTGATGAACTACTTGAATTGAAACTAGAAAATAATCATACACAGAAAAATAATTTGCTAAAATTATTGGAATTATTTATGATGAAGGCAAATGAAAAGAACGAAGTGGTGAAACATGAAATTCCACCAACACCACCACCAGAACCTCAAGATTTAGATATACCACCACCGGCAAAATCGGCAAAAATGGAACTAGACTCCGATGACGATGATGACGAAGATGATCTCAAACCCTATGACATGTCCAATGACATACCTCAAATAATGGAAAAAAGACCCAAATTCCTTTTCGATTTACTAAAAACTCTTTCTGAGAAATGTGAAAATTATGAAATTTTTGAATCAGCCCTATCATCAGCAGAATCTCTCATACGCTCCCAATTACCTCGGTCAGATTCTCGTCTAGCCTTGGATTTAATGCAAATTTTCTTGCCCCTAGATATGCAATATTATTATGAGAATTTCGAAGAAACTAAATTCAAATGTTGTGTGGCCATTTGTACGGCCCATCCAGCGGAATGTGCCGAATATATTTGCCGACAATTTCACACCGATAACTCACATTATAGTGTGAATTTGCGTATTGTTATGCTGCAAATTTTGGCTGCCACAGCCAAAGAATTATCAGATATACAAAATGAAAAATTGGAAACAATCGAACATACGAATCATACCCCCATTTCCCACACAAATTCAAATTACATACGTAAATTTCAATTTGATAATGAACACAAACAACGTTTGGCCCTAACGCAACAGGTGATCAAGAAACGTTTGCGCGAAAAAACCAAAAGATATTTTTCACAAAAATCATCGCAATCCGCCAACGAAAACCGCAAATCCAAGCCAAATCGTTTCCATGCGGTGGTGGGTACATTTTTCTTTTGCCTCATTCGCGGTGATCGTACCAAACAAATGCTCTATGTAAAATATGATCGACTGGCTCATGATATAGACACCATGCTAATGGTGAATTTTTTGCACACCCTATCCGTGATTGTTATGGCAGCACAAAATTGCCCTCTACTACCGGCCATGACAAGAGAAATATTCGACATATGTTCATTTGTACGATTTAGTCCAGAGGCTCGTATACGACAATCATGTTTGGAATTATTGGGCATAACATTGGTAACCACACCTGGTTATATACTGATCGATCAGTTCAATGAACGCTTATTGGATTTAAGATATTGGTTAGAGGATTTTGTCAAATCACCCCTTGTCGGCGGAGAAACGTCCGAGGAATGCCGTGAAATTGCCACACAAATTTTAAATACTTGCTATAAAATAATGAATCCTCAAAATTAATATATGTAGTTTTAAGGATATTTCATTTTGTTTTGAATATAAATCTTTATTCATTATTTTTCTCATAAATTGTATTCATTTTTTTTCATTTCATGTATAAATTTGAAATAAAATTTCAATAAAATAAGAATTTTGTTCCTTAATAAAAAAATTGTAAATTAATTGTGAGACTATTTTTGGGACTAATTATGGGAATTTCAGTCTCATTGTTTAATTTTATAAAAAAATATTTATTAGGTTATCCAGTAAGGCCAGCTGATATGAATAGTTTCAGAGTTGTATTTTTTTGAAAGAATTCTCCTTCTGGATAATCTAATATTTGTTCTACGTTTTCAATATAGGTCCATGTCCTGACATAGTCCCTTAATAGAGGCCGCGCGTTATTTTAGGTATTTTGATGGTTCTAACTGCATTTTCCAAATGAAGTGACTGTAATTTGGTATTTCATAGTCTTGGTTGTTGAAGAACATCTTTAAAGAAACTTTTCAATATATGTCCATTCTTGGCAGGTTTCTCCTTCGATACTACTATCGACGCAAACAAAGCAGAGCTTTGTGCAGCTGACGACTGCATGGGGCTCTTGGCAGCAGTTCGATGACCTCATTCTCTTGACAGCCGTGGGCTGTGGCCGAGATTTAGCACCCGGGATTACAACCGCCGCAGAGATAGCCCCAGCCGACGCAGGCACCTGCTTCGCGCTCGCTACCTTTGGCGCATCCACTAACAATTGCCCAATTGTCACAGCCTTGGATATCGGCTTTGGCAATTCCACAAGGGGTGGATTGGCAGAGGGTGGTTGTGTCGTATCGGCCTTCATGGTGGCCTTTTTACGGCCTCTCCTTCGGGCCGACTTCGACAATCCCCTACCTCTAAATTCGGCTCCATACAATGTGCTGTTTGTGAGGGATTGAGGTCAACCATGGCATAGCCTCTTACCATGGCAAGGACTTGGCAGCTAAGCCTGAAACAACTTGTTGAGTCAATAGTATTGGGCTTCCCACTATCCGCAACCTTTGGACGCGTCCGTTAGCATTCAGCTCTGCTCCCCGAAGGCGGATGTACGGTTGTTAGTAACAACCGTTCACTCGGACCATTGTGATCATACTTGATACGTGCAAAGTAAAGGGGAAAAGAAGATAGAGTAGAAGAGAGGAGAAAATAGTAGAAAATGGAGCGCCTAGAGATGGTTATTTTAGCCATGCAAGATTTTTGACAAAGCCTAGGATCTGATTGGGGTCTATTTTAGAGAAGAAAGCTAAATTATCAATTCCATATCTTTCAAACTGTTTATGTCTTCTGCCACTCAGCGATGGACATCTACAGAGGATATGTTCAATTTTTTCTAGCTCTTCTTCGTCCTCACATGGACGACAGTAATCATCTCCGCTGGAGTCCCATTTCGAAGTGAGAGATCTAATCCTGCAGTCACCTATTATGATCCCCACAATGATTTTGATCTCTCTCTTATTATGTGACAACAGGGAAGAAGTTCTTCGGCGAGAGAATTCAGGCCCGATAGCGTTTGAGATTCTGCAACCAGGTTCTCTCGACCATCTTTTGCCGGCTACCTCGCTGTGAGTATTTTGAGTGAGTATTCTCCTCAAGAAATCACAACCTGGCGTTATGTTGGAATTTAATCAGAATGTCCAGTGGTGTGGCTCTTTTGACAGATTTCCTCACGGAACTCTCTCCTAAGGATGAGTTGATTATTCTGCTTTCTAGCATTCTATTAATCCAGTCCGTTAGAAGTGAGAAGATACCTGAGCTCTCTAGCTTTACATTGTTGAAAGCTCCCTCAATATCGAGTTCTCTGGCTATCCAAAGGTGTAGCCGAAGAACTCCATATTCTTCTCAATGCGTCCAACCACATCATGTAAGGTCGTATCCACTGAATTAACTTTGATGTAGCCATGCTGGGAGTTGCTAATTTCGTTTTGATCAATAGTATTTCTAATTTCTGAGTCTAGTAACATTTCTAAAGTCTTGAGTAGACAAGAATAGAGGCTAATCAGTCTATAGTCCTTTGGTAGCATATGACTCGGCTTTCCGGCTTTCGGGATGAATGTCACTGTTACCTCTTTCCATAGACTAGGTATGTACGATAGAAGTAGACAAGCCCTAAAAATGTCTTGCAGAGAGGCTAATACTCGTTCATCTGGGCCTGGAGATTTATAGGGTTTAAAACTATCGTCCATAACAGTTTTGGGTAACTTATAGTGTTTTCCAAATGCTGATGCGCACGCTGAACATCCTCATTATTACAACCAGGAAAGTGGGTTGACGATAGAAGATCAAGATTCTCATTACCACGTTCTCCACGTTCCGTCACTTCGCTTAATACTACCTATAGTCTTTGGATCTTTAAGTAATACTCTGCGAAATCTGGCAGCTTCGTTTACTCCATCGATTGACTCACTATAGAAGACCCAAGACTCACGTTTAGCCTTCATGATTTCACTCTTTTTCCTATTGAACTGTTCTCCAAAAACGTCCCAATCTGTACTGAGTTTTGTCTTACTAGTTCTATTGTATGCTTTCCTTGCAGCCTTTCTCAAGGTCATGAAACCTTATAGCCCTTCAAAAGAGGGACCGTGACATTGTTCACAGCTTCCTCAACATCCTCAACCGTTTTGAGATCTTTAAGATTGAGGCTGCTATTTTTGCTTTGAATTTGTCCCAGTTTGTCTTCCAAAGATTCCTATAAAGCTTCTGTTTACCTCTGGAGCTAGGAATCTGGAAAAATATCAGTCTATGGTTCGAGAAGTAGCATTTCTCAGATACTTCCCAGTTCATAACCTCAGAGTCGTCCATATTAGTGAGGGTTATGTCGATGACTTCACTTCTCAATCTATTAACGAACGTTGGTGTATTGCTATTACATATTCTTTACATATTATAAGTATAAAATCAAAAATAGGAGAAGTTAGCCTCAATGTCAAGGTATAGTTGCAGCAAATATATCCATATTCACGAGTGTTAGGCGTTTTTCTATTACAGAAATTAAAGCCTGTATGGAGAGACGAGAAGTGTGAAATACTGTGAAATTATATTTCTAATGTAGTTCCTCTTTAGGTTACACTACAAATTAAAAATATGTATATGAATACACGAGAACTCACACATTTAAAGTGAAAAAAGTAATAATAAAACTAATATTTTTGTGTATTTAATTTATTATTTAAATTTTTATTCAGTTTGTAAATATTATTGATGAACATTGTAAGATATTCTTCTTCCAAAAATAAATTTTAATATATTTGTGTTCTAAAACATTTTAAATTTTGTATAAAATTTGTAATTGAATTCAAAATTAAACCAAAGTCATTTTTTATCCATTTTCTTTCTTTATTTTATTTAATTTATTGGTATTACTTACAAACAAATACTTGTGAAAAATAATGTAAAATAAAAAAAATTAAGCTTTTCTTAACATACCGGGAATAGTACCACCGCGGACCCATTAGGTAAATTCTCAACAATGAAATGAATACCTAACAATATATAAAATATAAAAGCACCAAAATCACAAATGAAAGCACCAAAAGCAAAGAAATCGTATTTTCACCAAAAATAAATACCCCACACACACAAAGAAGAAATGGTAAATGAACTTCTCTTGAATAGCACATAAGAAATAAAAGGTATCACTCTTCTCCTACCCCCATACCTTGTGATTTGTTTTACAATAACTATTCTTTCCGTATGTATTGCTCTGCTTTGTCACCATTCATTCACATAACTAAACTTGAAAGTATTGCAAATAACGTTCACTGCTTTTCATATAGAAATACATTTAATTGCAACTTTATACATGTCTAAACATGCTATAAATCTTTGAAATATTTAAATTATTATAAATGTTTAGTTATTTATATTTTTTTATTATAAATATAGTCCTAAGAATGTCCAGCAAATTTATTTTTTATATTTTCTTTAAAACACTTTTTCCTGTAATTTCAAATTCTTTTCTATATTAAAAAAAAATTATCCCGCATTTGTTTTTTTACCTTTATCAGCACATAATTTAAGCTGATTTTCTCAAATCCTTTTCTAATTATTTCAAATATTTTTTATCCCGCATTTTTTTAAACTTTATCAACCTGATTTATATTTTGCTGGTTTATATTTTTTATTTCAAATCCATATTTTTCTTTTCAAACAATTTATCTTTATTTTTTTTCTAATAATTTCGAATTAAATTATTTATCATTTCAATTTTGAAACTTTCTTTCCAGACAATATACTTCCACCAATTGCCAGTGCTGGCAATAATCTATTGCAACCAGTCAGTGCTAACCAGCAACAGCAAACATCAACAGGAACTGCCGACTCTAGTGCCGCCGCCAGCTCCACACCGGTACAGGTCGGCTCCACCTGGTCGGACAACTTGAAAGCTGGCGATTTGAAAATCGATTTAGACAATTTACTTGCAAGTAAAACAAATAAATCAAATGCTCCGGCACCCTCAATGAATGCTCTCAAAGTGCAAAATCCTAATATGCCACAAATGAAACCAATATCAATATCGCCACTCCAACCACAACAGACCCCGTTAGCAATACAAACCGCCAATACGGCACCCGCCGTTATGGGTAATTTTGCTGCATTTGGGGCACCTGCTGCAGCAGCGGGTATTATTTCACCTGGTTTGGCCAGTGCGCCGGTTATTGGCGGTCCAGTATTTTTCAATAACACCACCACAGCAACAACATCACCGAACATTCCGTCATCACAGCCATTTGCTAATTTTAATCAAATGAATAACCTGATGCAACCAACAACTCAAAAAATGGGATTTATTAGCAATAACAATAATAACGTAACCAACAATAATATTACTAGTAATAGCAACAACAACAATAATATACAATCATTTGATTTCTTTCAATGATATCTAATGGCATAAATCATTCATTCAATTCATTTGAAAAAAAAAGAAGAAATTTTTGTTTTGTAATTTTTTTCCAAATATGTAGTTTTGTTCGCTATTCTCAGATTAATTTTTTTAATGTAACCTTTAAACTATTTTCAATTTTCCCATACAACAAATTTTGTAATACAATTAAATAGTATTATGGTTTTAAAATTGTATTAAATTGATTGATTGAAATACATTATAATGATTTGAAATTAATAGCAATAAAATCGAAATCAAATCATTAATATGTATATATTTTGAAAATCAACTAAATCACTATTTGTTTTATCAAAATTTGTTTAAGGTTATATATTTTTTCAATTTTTTCCAATATTTCTTCTCCATGATTATTTTGTATTATTTGTTAGCATTTTTTGGCAATAATAATTTGTGTATGTCCCAAGGCTATTCAGCTAATTTATAGCCTCAATTAACTATGCTAAAAAATATAGTTTTTAAAAAAATATCCCAAGGTTACCTACCACAACACAAACTATGTTTCTATCAACTTTTTTTGTTTTCTTTAGCAAATATATACGTATTTTTTTTAAAAACAAATTGTATTATTAATAATGTTGGATTATTATTGAATTATATTTGTAGACATAATGCAAAAACAAAGTTATATATAAATAATGATATTGTTTTCAAAAAAAAAGTTTGTAATCACAATTAATGTTTTATTGTCATTTCGTTTTTTGTTTTTTCCTTTTCTCCTCATTCCAATTTTATTTTGTTCTTTATCTTTTTGTTTTAAGATAATGTCAAACAGGATCGTACCATATAAGACTTGTTTTCAAATTATATACATACATATGCAACTAAAATTGTATATTTCAAGTGTGTTTTTTTTATTATTTTTTTTGAAAATGTAAGAAATACGATTGAGTGCAACAGAAGTAATCACCGATGTGTATAATTGATAAATGTAACCCAATGAGAAGTTTTTATTTTAAATAATAAAAAAAAGCCTTTGTTTTCATAAGGTATAAGAGAGAGAGAGAGAGAGAGATTTTAAACATTTACTTACTTATTTAGCTGGCTTGTGACAGAACTCTCGATCCATAAGCCGGGCTGAAAAAAAAGATTTCCAGGCGCGTCGGTTTTTTGCGCAGTTTTTCTAATTTGAAAGACAATATTCGACAATGTTGTCTTTTATTTGATCTTTCCACCTTATTCGTGACCTTTCCCTTCTTCGTGAACCATCAGCTGTTTCGCTTTTATATTCCTTTTGGGCTGGGTCATCTTCATCCATTCTCACAAAATAACCTAGCCAACGTAGCCGCTGCAGTTCAATACGTCTAATAATGGCGATGTCCGAGAATACCTGGTACAACTCATGATTCATTCGACGGCGATATTCACCGGCAACGCAGATCGGCCCATAGATTTTTCGGAGAATTTTTCTCTCAAACATTCCAAGAGCTGCCTCATCTGCTTGCGTAAATACCCATGCTTCATATTCATATAGCAGCATGGATAGTATCAGCGTCTTGTGAAGTGTGAGTTTGGTCTGGAGATGGCCTTGCTTTTGAGTTGCTTGCTCAGACCATAGTAGCATCTGTTGGCCAAACTGATGTCATTAGTTTTATTTATGGCGGTACCAAGATATATAAAATCTTCGACAACCTCGAAGCTGTAGCTCTCAAGTTCCACAGTTGGTCCGAGTTTACTGGACTTCTTGAACGTTCAAAGGTGGCTGTTACCCCTCTTCGGTTTGGTGTTTGTAGAATTTTCGGACTTCATTCTGACTCCTGTACATCTCGATTTGCTCACGCTCACGTTTTTCTTGTTCTTTCTTCTTTTATCTGAAAATACGTTTCTCCCCTCTCTTTTTCTCCCGATAGTTCTAAGGGTGGAACGACAGATGGTCTTAAATGTCGTCTACGTTTTTTTGCCTCAGAAAGTGCCAGCCAAAGCTTTTCAAACTTTATTCCTAGCCTGAAGGAGGTTATCGAAAACCACCTAAGAATTTTTGGTTCAAGAACGGTGATCCCCAGGCTAATTTTGACATGAATGTCAAGTTCAAAATTAACTTATCGCCTCCAAGAAGTAAAAAATCTCACAATTTCCTAAGCTGGTGGATAATTGAAGATTGCGATCTCGGACGAAATTAATAACGATGGCTACGTTGCGCTTACGACGAACATCTGATTTGCCTGTCTTAGCGAAAGTACCATGTTGATTGTGCGATATTTGGATTTTTGCCCATGGGTGGGATTAGTGATGTCGGATTTCACCTCGGGGAAGCTTGTAAATGGACACTCACATTCCACTATGTCACGAGTTCATATTAACAGCGGCCAAAAATAGTAGGAGTTATCGTAGGTGAATGCACTTTGGTACATTCGTGAATGAAATGTGGAGGAACAGAGTAGAGAACTGTTCGACCAACTGAACAGACTTGTACCGGAAAAACAGAGGATGCGATGTCCGACGATGGGGAATCTATCAACGGACAACGATTCAAAGGTCGGAACTGCCCGAGAAGCATCCGATGCGAAACACTACAAACGTGCCGTATCGTATCTTCGCAAGTTTGTATAACGAGATGGGAATTTGTTTTCGGAGAGGAAGATTCATCTCATCAAGGGCAATATGAGGTTCGTACGGAAGTTCAAATAACTTATCCGCACTACAGTGACTATCTTTGGGGATAGTCAGGCGGCTCTTAAAGCCAAAAAATCCTGCAACATCAAATCTGAGTCGTCCTCGAGTGTAGAGCAGTTTTGGAAACACTCTCATATAACTATCGGCTGTGTTGGGGACCAGAACACTGTGACATCACGGGTAATGAAAAACTGATGATTTAGCTAGACGCGGATCTCAATGTACAGATCTAGCAAGGGCTCAATCAAACCACCAATCTGTCATATTTTTCGGAACTTTGATTCGTTCTTTGACTTTGAAGCGTTCTTTGCTCACTTCCCACCGTGTCTAAGCTTCTATTCAACTATGGAACCTGCTTCAATCTACAGCACCATTAGAACCCTTATAATATATCTTCTGTCCGAATTTCTATAGAAATCGAAACTACTTACCTACCTCCTCATACTTCCTTGTTTCCTTGGATTCTTAATTTTCTCATTTCTTCTATGACAAAAAATTGAATAGATCGGACAAAGATTTGATATACCTCCCATAGAACATTTCAATCTTTGGGCCTAAGATTTGATATACCTCCCATAGAACATTTCAATCTTTGGGCCTATATAATCTTCAATATTCCTCGAAGTTCAATTAAAATTGGCAATTTACATCTACTTAGCACTATAAAGCACCTCGTTCATTCTAAGGTGACATCTGACATACGAATTCTACCCATTCGAGCGCAGTTAAGGGTCTTGTATGACGCTAACAAGGTTTCCATATTTGTGTCCCATGTTGTGCCATCCAGAGCTTTTATACTTTATGGACTGAGGGTCATCCCGGTCATTTCTGATCGTAAACCCCACTGTATTGAAAATGTATAACAAAAGTATTTTGATTTTCTAACATTAAGGTAATTTCCATTACGTTGCACAGAGACCCTGATAAAAAGACCGATCAGTCGTCATATGCCTAACAATTCCGCAAACGTTCTTGATACTGACTACAAAATTAGAATCTGTGCTACTGAGATTCTAAGCCAGAAAAGGTAACATTTTTGTTTGTTGGCTTCGCTAAATATAAACAGACGCCTTAAGGTATGCAACAATTTTCGTTATAGTTTCAATTAGCTGTGTCCATTATATACCGGGGCAAGTAAGAATATTGACAATTTGTTATACAAAAAAATTTTCAAATTACAATTGAAAAAAATTAAGGTAACGTTATATGGAGGCTATATTGAGAATTTTTGATAACAAGAACTCTCAAAGTATAATCATTTCAGTTGGGTTTTCTCTCGAGTTGAGCTAAATGAGAGACGCATACGCTGAGTTGATCGAAGTTTTGCAATGAACAGGCAAGCCAGAGCGCAATCCTACACACCAACCATTATGCGAGGCGTTTCGCCGTTAGTTAAGCGGCTCAACAGGCAAATATGGGGGTTATGTCTTTATCGGAAAGTGTGTTGTTTTATAATGGGGATATGCCGATGGAGCCCAACTTCAATCGAGACCTTCCGGCAATGAGGCAATTGTTCATATTCTGTACTCGATTTTATCCAATTTGATTTTTATTTTTATTTAGTGATGTATTCAGGTCTTTCAGTAATACTTAATTTTTTAATATATTTATTAAATTCTATATAAACAAAAAAAATATTTTCCTTTTCATCTTCATTGTTGGTTATTGTTCTAACACATACATTTTGTTTTTTACAGTATGCGTGTATAACACACAAAACCGATTAATATACATACCTATATACGATTTCAATCTAAAACAAAAAAATATATAATTAGATTTTAAACTGAACTATATACATATATATATTATAAATACATTTAAAAAATATTTAATAAACAAAACTATAATAATGTAGTCATTTGTAATTACAGCAGTTAGATGACCCCTTAGTAATAGGAAACAAAAACAATTCAATTATAATTTATATCTATGTATTTGTGTGTAAAATAAAGGTTGTAAATGTGTTAAAAGATAAAGAAGAAAAAACAGAAACAAAAAATTTAAATGAAAATAGTTAAACAAATAACTTGTAGTTTTGATTAACTTTTAGTAATTAATGAACAAAAAATATTTACATGTGAAAAAAATAAAACCCCAATTAAAATTAAATGAATTTAAACAAACAGATATATAATTTACATACTTATATATGAAAATAAAATTATGTAGTTGAATAAGGAATTGAAAAAAAAGAAATATGTGTTTTAATATAAAAGGAGAATCAGAGTTGCAACAATGGTTTAGTATAAATTCAATGGACCTGGATATATATATATATACTCCAAGGACTTGCGTTTTTAAAATTTTCCCATGATTAATTTTTTCGAAATATTTTACTAGGATATGTTTTCGAATACTTACCAAGGACGTGAATGTTATTCAAACCCTTTCAAAAGCCTATATTGTTAGTATATATGCCAAAACGTCCCATCGTATAAATCTGTGTGCTAAATTCCATTCAACTATATTAAAAATTCCGATTGTTTTGATTTTTGTAAGAAAAATAATTTCTTTATTTTTTTACTTCATATATCAGGCTATATCATAATTTGTAAAACCAACATATACATCTATACAATCTATAGAAATACATATGCTTTAGGAAGAAAGTCTATTTGTATTGTTTGGGAGGATGTGGTTTGTGGTAAGGAAATGATAAAAAAAACTCCTTAATAAGCTTAAATCTACATAAAAATTAAAAAAGAAAATAGAGCAAATATAAATGAATTTATTCATTATCTTTGTTTTTGTTCTTCTTCTTTTTCTTCTTCTTTTTGGGTTCACCATCACCACCACCATTTTCAGCAGCTGGCTCTTCAGCAGCAGCTTCTTCGGCATCACCTCCATTTGCGTCGGCAGCAACACCATTACCATTGGCAGCTTCTTCTTCTAGTTTACGTTTCTTCTTCTTATTTTTCTTCTTTTGTGATTGACTTTCGTCTACTACCTTTAAGGGTGCTTCAATTGCAGCTAAACCAATAGCTTCCTTCATTACTTCAATATTCTTACGAGGAACTTCACCAGATTCATAGAATTTCAGACGTTCTTCGACTTGCTGTTTCAGTGTTTCACCAAACACAGCGGTAGGCTGTTCCAGGAAACAATCAATACGTGAAGCAATCGAGCATTTGTTGGCCAAGAAACGCGAGATGCGTCCCTTGTTCTTTAAACCAGCACGACCAATAAACGATGAATGATAGAGCAGACCGTATTTGGGTGTGTTGGAGCGTGTCTTCAATGCTCTGAACAGGGCCTTTTCAGCGCCCAAAATTTGTACTGTAGATGCTGGATATTTGGCCAAATTGGTCAAACTACCGGCATGAGAAATGAGGCGGGCACCAACTTGATCACCAATCAACGATTGCAGATTAGGAGCAACACATTGCATTTTGTTGTGTAAGTAGGTCGAGAGTTTCTTGCGGTATTCGGACAGTTTGACAACTCTCTCGGCGAAAAGTTCAATATTCATCAAATCCACAATTGAAATATCCATACCCATGGACATTTTGGCGGCATCAATAATAGCTTGGGCCTTGGCTGAATCCATAACAATTTCCTCCAGTTCTTCCAACTTATCTTGAGTCAAAGTTTTACGATCCTTAATGAATTTGGCAGCCTTGGCGTAAATATAATTGTCGGGAACAATTTTGACCAACTCTGGGAAATGATAGGAATACCATTCACGGATACGCATCGAGAATGTGTTAACATCTTTGTCCAATTGATCCAACAAGGCAATGGACTGGATAATCATGTTATCGGAACGATGAACATTGAACTTCACCTTGGCACGAGAATAACTGTGACCCAAACCAAGTTGGGCAATGCCAGCCGATTTATCGGTGAAACCTAAAACGACAAAACAATGAAATATCTGGATTAGTAAACACATGTCAACGTAGTACTAACAAAATGTACACCTACCTTTAATCAGTTTGTGGAAATGGAAACGAATGCCTCTCAAAATTTCGGGTACAACACCAAAATGGCTGCACTGTACACCAATAGCCTCAGTGATGGCAGCACCCAACTTGGCATCAGCAATGCCCAGTTGGCACTTCTTTTTCTTCAACTTGGCAAAGAAATCATCTAAAAATACCAACAAATCCTGTGGCACAATACCCTCAGAGATGGCATTAATGTTCTCCAAGGCAGCAATAGCTGTTTTGAATGGAGCAAAACCAGCCAACTTGACAATTGAATTGAATTTGGCCAAGTCGGTAACGGATGATTCTACTTGGGGTAGGAACATCGAGACTTCCTCAAACTCCTTTACGGAGAACAAAGCGAACCCAGCCGCATGTTCATATAAAACGTATAGCTGAGACTGCAAGGAAAATAGAAAAATATACCAATTAGTATCCATACCCCCATGTTTGCATTTCGAGGTTATATTGTTTGTTTGTAAATAAAGTAATTTTGAATTAAGTTGCCATTTACGATAAATTTACGGATATTTAGTAGATTCTTACCATATTTTAATTTAAATATGCCTCGTTTTCACTTTATTTTGTAACTTTTACACACAAATATTGGAGTAATTCAATCAAGACCAACGAGACTCAACACGTGCGTGGAAGAAGAAAAAGTTTGACATTTGAATGGCTCCTCGTTGTTTTTGACACGATAGTTCATGATATCGATTGTTCCAGGAACTAATCGATATTTTTCATATGCGATGTGGCCACATGACAACTGGTACATATTGAAGAAAATAAATACAGCTCTGATTTGCCATCAGAAATTCACTCGATCACAAGTGTCAATGTCGATTGGCATATATTCAATAAATTAAACAAAATATTTAACCATGATTTAACCATGGTTGTTACAACTTTTAGCTATAGCGTTTAGAGGCAGGGAACTTCGAAATATTTATAAATATAAATGATTTTGCAATTTTTGTCACTGGACACATGTTATGCGCGCATTTCGAAGGAATATATTTTCATTAAAATTTTGAAAGGTGAATGCCGTCTAGGCAAATTTATGAGAAAATTGGAAACATATGACCTTGTAGAGTTATGCCATGGCATGCCGATTGGGATATATATTTTTTTAAATTAAAAATGTATAGTTTCTATTCATAATTCCCGGACTTGCGATCAATAAAATGCAATAATAAATATCTACATTTTTTTATCCTTTCATAAGCTATATCTACATATGCTACAGCTTATATATTAGATTATAAAGGCTGGGAACATCAAAATATTTAACATTTTGTTGTTGTTGTAGCAGCCCTATTGCTTTTACACAATGGGCTGAGGTGACAGATGTTGGCCGAGTAAGACTCGGGTCGTTTCGGATCGTAGACCCCTCTGTCGTGGAAACATTTTGTAATTATTGCCACTGAACACGTGTTGTGCGTACCTTTGAAAGGAGGACATTTTCAGTTAAATGGTAAGCAAAAGTAAAATTTTAAAAACTTGGAATTAAATACCTTCATGACACTACCTTGTGTAAGTCTTGATTTAGATTAGGCGAGTTTACTTGCAGCAAGTCTTTGTTTGTAGGAGAGAGGGGCAAGGGGTATAGAAATGAAAAAAAATTGCTCGTACCGACAATTTTCTGGCAATTCGTTTTGTGTTTTTCGTATTTGTTGACATTTTATATATATTTAAATGTGAAAAAACAACAAATAAAAAAATATTTTGGAAACCGAATTGCCTTGTATAGACGCATGGAGCAAGTTCAAAAGATAACAATAAAAATTGCCGCAAGTAAACTCGCCTAATATAAATCAAGACTAATTATGGCATATGCACAATTATATAAAGTACAAAGGGTAACTTTTGTAAAAAAAAAGAAATAAATAATAATAATAAACCTCTGCAACAAGTTGTTCTGTTCATTCGGCATATTTTTAACATTTTACTCATCTCATTCCTATTCCCTATCCCTGGACATTCTTAGTTAAATCTTGAGAACAATAAGGAGTTTTAGAAAAAAAAATATTTTTAATTTGTTTGAAAATATGTCAATGCGTAAAATTATATGGAATTTATTTCTCATTTTATTTGAAAGTCTTGATTTAGATTAGGCGAGTTTACTTGCGGCAAGTCTTTGTTTGTAGGAGAGAGGGGCAAGGGGTATAGAAATGAAAAAAAATTGCTCGTACCGACAATTTTCTGGCAATCCGTTTTGTGTTTTTCGTATTTGTTGACATTTTATATATATTTAAATGTGAAAAAACAACAAATAAAAAAATATTTTGGAAACCGAATTGCCTTGTATAGACGCATGGAGCAAGTTCAAAAGAGAACGATAAAAATTGCCGCAAATAAACTCGCCTAATATAAATCAAGACAAATTGATATATGAATTCCATAATAAGAAGGGTTGCCAATATCAATTTCTCAAATGAGACTACCTTGTATAGTTATGCCCATGATGCAATAAAAAGGTGATGTAGCAAAACAAAAACCTTTGTTCTGGTCTCGACCTTCTGTCAATTTTTTCCTTATAATATTTCACATGGTTGGCAACATTGCACATCGAATTCAAGTAGAAATGACGCACTTTAACAGTTTATCAAGACATCAGTTGCTCTAAATGGACTACCTATTCATTGTGCCATGAATACAAGGTAGGGAAGCTTGAGGTGAATAACAAAAAAGCAACTATGCACGTGTGGCTTCTTCTGCCTATAATAAAATAAATATAAGCAACAAGTGTTTGTGTTTATTTGACATTTTTTCGACACAAAACAAAAATAGCGAAAAATGAAAGGTTATGATTTCTTCCCAAAATCCAGGAATACCATAAAATGTTTGTTTCATCCATAACAAAGTAATTACTTCCAGAAGAACGTGTTAAAAACATAATTTTCATTTCAATTAAACTTGAATATATTTCAATTTATTTTATTTATTTATTTCTTTCAAAAATGCAATTTGAAGCCTCAAAGGCCGATTTTAAATAAATTACAAACCATACTACTCCATGTAATAATTAAACCTTAATGACTATATCTTATAAAGGTATGATAATCCGAACATATAATAGTATGAAGTTTTTTAAGTGACTACACGTACATATTCAATATGAAGCTAGTAATAACGTAATATACAAGATCGAATTTGAAATTTGTGTGTTTTAAAAGTATGTTACAATATTATTAAATAGAAAATTGAGAGCTACTCCAATTTATTTTTGAATTTATTTGACATAGTATTCAAAACAATACACACACATACACAAAATATGTATTTTGATTTGATGGGACAAGCCACCTTAAGAAAAAATTGTAATCAGTTGGTAGCTGTGCCCTACCTTGTAATAATTATACCATAGGCTAAACCACTGGGGTAACGTAATCAGGTACAATGTAAACGTACTACTATATTTTTTTTTCTTTTTCCATAAAACACGTTTGATGTTAAAGAAACACTTTTTAGAAAACATTGCAAATATTTCAGAAAAAATAAAACCTGCCTATTGTATGCACGTCAATTCTAACGCCGATCATTCCCAACCAACTTCGACTTGGTTGTCTGTGAACAAGAGGAAAATAGTTTTTTTTTTATTACGGCCGACTTCTTGCATTTTGTTCGCTATAAATTAACAACAAAGAACGGCACAAAAGCAAATATTTTCTATTTACAAACATTAATAGACTGACAAATTTAGTGTAAAACATTTAAGGGAGATAGAGAACACATAGCAAAATGGAATTTTTGTTGTAAGTATGCAATTGAATGCATTTATTGTATTCGGAATAGTCTGAATAGAATCGTTGTTTTGTTGTCTCGTCTGCGATTCTTTTTTTTTGTGGTAGGGTAGTCAATAGTTTCGAGATTTTTCCATTTGGAAAGTGCGAGTGCAACGACCTAGCATCAATTATCTGTTTTTTGAGTGTTATTTTGAGTGTTACCGGTATTGGATTGGGGGTATTGGGTCTTCCTGTTTTGAGCATCTTGAGCGTTAACTCTTTTGCAAGAATGAGTGGTAATGGAGAGATAAGACCATTTGAGTGACAATGTGTAATGGTGGTTAATAGAATTGAGTGGACAAAATTGAGTGGTCATGCAATTTTTAACTATAAAAGGCGCAACTTCAAAAAGGGGCAACTAACAAAAAATTGAAAATTGAAATTGACTTTGTCAACACATTTGATTGTTGATTGACATTTACAATATTCATTCAAAAAGTCAATTTTCAATTTTTTGTTAGTTACGCCTTTTTGCATTTTAGCTAACGATATAGAAGGACATTCGGAGGGCTTCCATATATATAGAACCTTAAGAATGCTATTAATTATGTATATAGGAAATCTTTAAAGAGGGGAAGAACTTTGCAGGGAAAGCCATTAGAATGAGTTCCGTCTGCAGAAGATCGTAGGAAGGTCTTTTGTTTACAGAAGACTTTAGAAAAGTCTTCTGTATACGGGAAACCATTAGTAGATCTTCTGTCTATATAACACTTAGAATGTCTTCTGTCCATAGAATAAGGTATTTTGTATATAGAAGACATTTAAAAGGTATTCTGAAGGTACTGCGTCTAGAAAATATATTTTGAAGGATTTGTGGTAATATAGTCTTCATTCCTTAAAATACCTTTAGGATGCCTTCTGTGTAGTTATCTTCTCTATTTTATGTCTTCTGTCTACAGAATTACATTTGAAGATCCTTCTATAGAAGACTTTTGAAGGTCTATTGTGTATAGGTCTTCTATCTATTGATGAGTTGTTTTATGCAAGTCTGAAGATCTAATATATATATTTTTTTAATTACAGCGGTTCCAGATCAAGTAAAACATTCAAACCCAAAAAGAATATACCCGAAGGTACACATCAATATGATCTCATGAAACATGCAGCCGCCACATTAGGCTCAGGCAATTTACGAAATGCTGTCGCCCTGCCAGATGGTGAAGATTTAAATGAATGGGTGGCCGTAAATAGTAAGTACTCCATTACACATTCGAATCTACCAAACATTTAAACTAAACTCTTCGCTTCTATTTACTTCAGCTGTGGATTTCTTTAATCAAATCAACATGTTATATGGCACAATAACAGAATTCTGCACCGAAGAGAGTTGTGGCATTATGTCGGCGGGACCCAAATATGAATACCATTGGGCCGATGGTTTCACAGTTAAAAAACCTATCAAATGTAGTGCCCCCAAATATATTGATTATCTCATGACCTGGGTACAGGATCAATTAGACGACGAAACATTATTTCCCTCCAAAATTGGTATACCATTTCCAAAGAATTTCCTAAGCAATGCAAAAACCATATTGAAACGATTATTCCGTGTCTATGCTCACATTTATCATCAGCATTTTTCGGAGGTGGTGACATTGGGTGAGGAGGCTCATCTGAATACATCATTTAAACATTTCATATTCTTTGTGCAAGAATTCAATTTAATTGATCGCCGAGAATTGGCACCTCTGCAGGAACTTATCGATAAGCTGACAGCCAAAGATGAACGGCAAATATAGGATTCATTGCAATTGGGATCGGCAACATCCCATGGTATGGAGTTTTGAGTTTAAAAAAATTAATGAAAACAAAAACCCGCTTCTCTCTATCTCTTAATTTATGTATTGTTTTATATATATAAATTTTGTGTTCTCATCAAATTTCGTATTATAATTTGCTCAACAAACAAATAATGTTTTATATTATAAGCATATGTATACACTTTTTTATATACAAAAAGCAGCCACCGATTGCAACACACACAAAGCAGAAAACCCAAAATATTTTTTGTACAGTACACAAATTTACAAATGTGTTCCGAGATAAATTGCACGAAATTTAACGACCGCGACCAATCCACATTGACATCATTTTGAAAAAACTTTTTTAAAATGTAATTATTTTTTTTTTCAAAATTTATTCTCATTTAAAAACACTCTTACAAAAACTATTCCTAAGTCAATAACTACTTAATTCAATCATTGGACTAATTATTTGTATTATGCCTTGTTTTTTTAATAATACTTAAAGTACACTGAATAAACTATTAGTTTTAATTATTTAGTTATTTGTTTGTGTTTTTTTTTATTTTCTTTTGATTTTAGTTTGATTTTTATGTTCTGTTTTTTGTTCTTCTAATACACTATATTATAATATATGAATAAGAATCCCTTTAGAAGGACGGTATTCTATTTATAGAAAACGCCCTTTTTAAACGAAAATAAGTTCTTTGGTAGAATATCCATTGGATGTTTTCTGTCTATAAGTTCCAGACACAGCTAGTACTGTATCTACATATATAAGACATCGATATATTAAGCACTCAGAGGATATTATCTCCTTAAAGGATACTACATCTAGACATGCTCACCTTCTATCTGTAGGTAGATTTCGTCTATCTTTAGGTAACGTTTTTTACATGAGGTCCGAATAACTCTAGGAAAGAAATCCATTATTTTTTCGGCATGGTGGAATTGTGAAATTTCGCAGTTTGGTGTATTCAGTTGTAAGTTATAGGGTGTTAAAAATGGAAGTAACGAAGAGAAAATTCGGTACATTTTACAGGGTTTCTTTGACAAAGACGAAAATGCAAGCCAAGGGGCTAAAATTGTGAATGGTGTTTATGATTCCGATACTGTAACAGCCAATTATGCGAAATTTTGGTTTCGTAGATTCCGTTCATGAATTTTTGATAAAATCGTCGTCGATAAATAAAATCGGAGAAATGAGCGAAGTTGACCGGAATGTTAGCAGTCGTAAAATCACCCAGGAGCTAAAAATCGTCCATAACTGTTTTAAAACATTTACACAAAGATAATAATAATGGATTTCTTTCTCCCTAAATCTTGCAAATTTATAATTCTATCGCTTCCAGATTTTTCCTCCAATTGAGTCATTGCCATATGTAGAGGTAACTCACACAAAAACGACGAAAATGGAGTTTAATATTGCAATTTTTCATTGCAAAAGGATTTGCTGTTTCAAATGTTCCCATTAGGAAATATAAGTAAATTGTAAACTAAAGGGTAACGAACTTCTGGTGCGATAGCTTTGATTTGAAAATGTATAATTGTTAACGCGTGATTAGTACTCTTTAAAATGAATATAATTGAAATTCTCATGTTAATTATTGGTTGTAAAACAGGTTTCGGAAAAAATTAAACGCCGATACTATATTTTTCTATCGTCTGCAGATTTGGGAATATAGCAAAGATAAATGTCAAACATTTCACAAAATTGTGTTGTATTTTTTTCTATTGTATTTTCCTGCTGGATTGTTCTACATAAATCAAAAATGTCATATCGAACTTGACACGTGTATCACGAATCGTGATTTGATTGTATCGTGATTCACGATACAATCAAATCAGCTGAGTATTGCAGTTACCTTGTATAATTGTACCATGATTTGTAATAGGGAAAAATCATTATCACCAACAATATGTTCAAAAAATATCAAATAAACACAAAAACAAGTCACTACATACAGAGTGGTATTTTGTCGTTCATCTCAATATATCCGAAAGTTGTTGATACACAAGCCCTTATTGATATACGAAGGCAGTTCGGAAAGTTCATAGCCTAGCACAAATAGCGCGGTATAAACAGGAAAAAGTAAGTGTTTTGGAGACTTCCATCTCTGTTATGAACAAATGTTAACTTTTGTTTTAATCTGGCAACTCCTTCATATAGAAACAGGTGTTCAAAAAAGACGCATCGGAAATTTTTTACAATGGAAAATTAGAAATGCGAGCTTTCATTATAAAAAAAATTCGAATGCGTCTTTTTCGAACACCTGTTTCTATATGAAGGAGTTGCCACATCGAATTTATCATGTGTTCATAACAGAAATGGAAGTTTCTAAAACACTTAACTTTTTTCTGTCTATACCGCGCTATTTGTGCTAGGCTAATAACTTTCCGAATTGCCCTCGTTTGTGCCGTCAGTTTTTCTGTACATACGACAATATTTATGTATGTCAAAATTAGTACTTTGCATACATTTTATACTTTTATGTTACACGTATTTTTGTATTTTTCTATAATTTTTTTCTTCCACCAATTAAACTTTATTTCTTCGAGTTATTTTCTATCATAAATGTATTTTCATTTGCCAAACAAACAAAACAGCTGATTTATGTATTTGATTTGCATATGAAAATACATACAAAAATAGAGCGGTTCCTAAACAAATGAATTGTATTAGATATCTATTGTCATATCGTTTTAAGACAGGTAAATTTTCATATGGGCTTCACAGTATTCACAAATCAAATTCAAATTGTACATATAATTTGACATATGACATATCAAGGCCTTAAATTGTAATATTAAGTGTGTCTGGTTATTTTTCCAGTAACATTTCTTCAGTAAGTTCTAGTTCAGAGAGTAAGCCTTTTTTACACCCTTTTGCGATAATACTAAGAAAAGAAAACAGACAACATTTAGTAAGATTTAGCAAATAAACAGCTGATTTAAGAAAACATTTGATTGCCGCCAAAATCAACAACAAACATAGGACGAACACAATTATTTGTATTACATTAAATATAAAATGAATAATAAAAGAACAATTGATTTGGTATGTTCCCCGGGAACATTTAAGCTTCTTGCATCAATAAATTGCCCTCTATCTGGAACTTGCTAAAAATATATAAGGAATTAGTTTCTAATTTAATGAATCTTTACATTACTTACGAATTTTCTGCCATTTTCTGTAATTTTTATACAAATTAACTTCAAATTGAACATTGCAAATTAAAAAAAAAAAATGTTTTGAATAATTTTTCTGTTTGGTCATAAAACAGCTGATCCAAAATTGGCTGAGTTTGCAAAATCTTACTGCATAAAATTAGGTGTGTCTGGTTACCCTAAAGTTTGTAACAATTGTTACAAATTGTTACTGGAAGTCGTCTGTTAACCCAAAAGTTCTGCAAAAGAGAGCGGTTGGAGAGAGAAATTTTGACAGTTCTTTCAGTGAGAGTTTGCAAATTCTTGCTGGAAAAATTTCTTCTTGCAATCTCTTGCAACTCTTCTTCTTCTCATACATCGACATTCAATCAGATGTTTTCTATTGTTTGTTTATTTATTTTTGTGCTTTCAATTTGAAAATAATTTTTTTTGGAATTAGCAAGACTAATTGTTTTTGTTTTTGTTAAACTGGTTGTGTTTTCTTTCTTTTAATTCTTTATAATGGCGGACAAATTGGTTTGTTTTGACAAATCAGCTGATTAGTTGCAAGCTTCTGCAGGGATGCCGTCTGTTTACTTTTCGCATTTTTCTTGCAAAAGAGAATAAAACTACCTTACTCTCTCAGAAAGAAGTTACTGGACAATTCCTGCAGGGAAAGTAACCAGACACACCTATTCTTTCAGTAAACTCCAGTAAGTTTGTTGTTGTTGAACTGTCAAACTTGCTCTCTCACTTGACTCTCTTTTACTGGATTTTTGGGAAACACACAACATTTAGTAACAATTGTTACCAAATACCATGGTTTGTACTGTACTTTATGCAATGTTACATCAATAACGAATAAATTGCATAAAGCGATTTTGACTACGAAATCCACTCGATATCATATGTCAATTCCACAGTCAGGTGAATCCTATACACAAATCCACTAGATTTTATTTGACGTACATGCTATGAAATCGATTTTTATTTGTGCGATGGCTATTTTAACACATGTATAAATATTTCAATGGTATAGTCTTACTATTATCAAGAGCAATTTTGTTTTATCTATTGACTGTACTGTCAATTTAATACCTTGACAATCAAATCGAACCATCATTTAATTGCCAACTAACCAAAAAAATTATTGTTTAGTGGTATTCAATAGTGGTTTTACTAATTCCGTGTTGTTGTTTTTTTGCTAAGTTCTTTTTTTATTTGTTGTTGTTTCCGTTAAGTCTCTTTTTATTTTCAAAGTGAAATATAGGGATGACAGTACACAATGATATGCCTTCAAAATCGACATGATTACTAAATCGAGGCCATAAATATTTATTTATATTTTCAACTCAATTTTTTGTATTAGATTTTAGAGGTGCATTAGTTTGTGGAAAAATATACTACCTTGTTTATTGTACCATTGTTAAAAAAACTGCTGTAATTTTTTTGTTAGTCCTGATTTATATTGCGGCAATTTTTATCGTTCTCTTTTGAACTTGCTTCATGCGTCTATACAAGGCAATTCGGTTTCCAAAATATTTTTTATTTGTTGTTTTTTTACATTCAAATATATATAAAATGTCAACAAATACGAAATACTCAAAACGAATTGCCAGAAAATTGTCGGTACGAGCAATTTTTTTCATTTCTATTCCCCTTGCCCCTCTCTCCTACAAACAAAGACTTGCCGCAAGTAAACTCGCCTAATCTAAATTGGGACTTAGGCAAATATTTTGAATTTTAAGGCGTTTTTATATGACGTTTACCTTGTAACGGATTAGTTTAATTCCGTAGATCTAAATTGTCAATTCCATTAAATATATTTCAAATAAATCCTCGTGTAGCTGTAGACTACAGCTTTTATCGTGATAAAGTGTATTATCTCGATTTTGTTGCTACATTGCTCTAAATGCTTCTGCATTATAGAATTTTCCAACTGCAATCTCTGTTCTTTGCAATGTCCAAAAAGTGTCATACTATGTGTGATTTAATCAAATCGGGTGGTAGG